TAGAACAAGGTGGGTGGAGCAAGTCCTGTTGTGAATACAATGCAGGAAGACCTCTGCCAGATGACATTGAGTAGCAGTCTGAAGACACCAAGCAAAGAACCATGTGGGAAAGGGTGATCCAGAGTATAGGGCCACCTTGTTGGAGAACAGTAGGAACAGCACTGGGACACACACAGGAGTGATTTTTCAGGGAGAAGGAACCCATTGGAGGGTTTTCAAAAATGCTGTTGTTTAGGAAATGGTTAGTAAGATTAGTAACTGGAGGACAGGAGTAAGATGGAGACCACCTGGTCTGGGGAAATGGTGACAATGGAGGTGGTCAGACACTCCATCCCTCAAAGTTCTGGGCTTGTACAAGTGGAAAAGTAGAAGTACGGGGGAAAAAGGAAGCAAATACTTGAGCAGAAGGGCTGAGCTGGAAATAATAGAAAGCTGACTAGTAAGTCAGGTTTCTGATAATTGCAGCTCAGTTCATCAGGGATAAAGTGCTCCTGTTATAATGGAGCCCCTACTTGAAGTGTGTCATGACGAAGAACTTGGCCTCTGCGCTTGAGCAAAGCCTCTGCAAGCATCCCACTCTGCGTTCAGGTAGTGTTTCTGAAGAAGCGCTTCCCTATGGCACTCTTCAGTGAGGTGGTGTTGACTAAGAGGGAGATCATCTCCCTAAAGGGGAGGGGAGAAGGTCCAGTGGACTTTAGGCAGTGGTGTCAGTGGAAACCACTGGGAAAGCCAAGCATTGGTGGGATCACAAATGGCAAGATCCGTTTGGTTAGAAAACAGGCAGCTCTGTGACCCTAGCAGGATGTGGATTGAGGAGCCGGGACAGCATATCAAGAAAGAAGACAGATCAGATGAAGACTAGAAGGAGTAGGAAGTGATAAATGCATTGCTGCCTGGAAATGTTGAAAGGTTACAATTTGCTAGCAGCTGTAGTGGAATGGACAGGAACCCACATATTCCCAGGCTTGCAGGGGAGAAAAGTGCTAAGAAGCCCTTGAGTTACTTACCCAGGGAGATGACATCATCCTTGCTGAGGTTTTTGTCATTTTTTTGTTTTGTTTTTAAATTTTTATTGGAAAGTCACCCATACAGAAAGGAAGATCCATCCACTGATTCACTCCCCTCGTGGAAGCAACGACCAGAGCTGAGCCAATCCGAAGCCAGGAGTCAAGAACCTCTTCTGGTTCTCCCACATGGGTGCAGGGTCCCAAGGCAGGGAACTGGATGGGAAACTGGGCTGCTGGGATTAGAACCAGCGCCCATGCAGGATTCCAGCAAGTTCAAGGCAAGGACTTTAGCACTAGGCTACTGTGCTAGGTGCCACCCTTGCTATTTGAAAAGAGTGATCTGACTGCTGTGAGAGGAAGTAGAATTAGATAAGGAAACATCAAAGTTCATAAGGTATCATAACAACTCCACATGGGGTTAGAAGTACCTTGGACTAGCTTATTGCCATAAAACTGGATGGATTCAGGAAGTGGCAATTAAGAGCTACAGAACTTGCTAATGAAGTGCTTTGTGAGGGTTAGGGAAGAGAATACCATTCCCCAGGGTAAGGAACCTGGACTGCCTGCCCTCATCCCCACCTCACCAGGATCCGTGTTTCTTCAAACACAGAGTCAGTTGCAAATTAAGGATGTTGGCGAAGGGGCAGGTATTCTAGTAGAGCACGTTAAACCACTTGGGGATGCCTACAGCTCTGAGGCTGGATTCCTTCCCTCCTCCAACTCCATGCTAATCTGCACTCTATGGTTAGATGATGACTCAGACATGTGGGAAACATGGATGGAATTCCTGGCTCCAGGCTAACCCCTTGCCAGCTGTTGGCAGGCATTTAGGGAGTGAGCCAGCATTTTAAAAAATCTCTTCTTGGGCCTGGTGCGATAGTGTAGTGGTTAAAGTGCTCACCTTGCAGGCACTGGGATCCCATATGGACACCAGTTCGTACAGACTGCCCCACTTCCCATCCTGGGAAAAGCAGTCCAGGATGGCCCAAAGCCTTGGAACCTTGCACCCACATGGGAGACCCAGAAGAAGCTCCGGATCAGCTCAGCTCCAGCCATTGCAGACACCTGGGGAGTGAACCAGCAGATGGAAGATCTTTCTCTGTGTCTCCCTTAGATCTGCTTTAGATTTACTCTCCCAGTAAACCTGATTTTCCAATTAAAAATAAATTAAAAAATAAAAAACCTGCCCTTCAGAGAGACTGTAGAAAGCAGGATGAGGAGCAAGGCAGTCTAGCTTGCGGCAGGGCCACGGCCCTTTGCACTAAAGAAAACGATGGGAATAGGCAAGTTCACTTCTGTCTCCTTAAACGTTGAGAATATCAAGAAGAAAAATGAATTATGTTGCCAGCAACTGAAGTGTGCAGTTATTAATGGGTGAAGTTTCTTCAACGAGCCCAGAATCTGAAGGAGTTAGGTTAGTGGAGCCCACCACAGGAGCTACCTGTGGTTAGTGAGCATTCGAAATGTAGCATGATGTGAATTGAGATATAAAAACACACCAGACGTCTTAAGAAAACTATGTGGAAAAAACAATATAAAAGATCTCAAAAATTTTTTAAATATTTGCATTTATTGGAAAGGCACATTTACAGAGGAGAGGCAAAGATCTTGCATCCACTGGTTCACTCCCCAAGTGGCCACAAGGGCTGGACTGAGCCAACCCGTAGCCAGAAGCTTCTTCTGGGTCTCCCACATGGATGCAGTGTCCCAAGCCTCTGGGTCATCCTTCACTGCTTTGTAAGGACATATGCAGGGAAGACTTGGCACGATAGCATTGTGGTTAAAGTCCTCGCCTTGCACGTGCCAGGATCCCATATGGGTGCCAGTTCTAATCCCGGCGGCCCTGCTTCCCATCCAGCTCCTTGTTTGTGACCTAAGAAAGCAGTTGAGGACGGCCCAAGGCCTTGGAACCCTGCACCCATGTGGGAGACCTGGAAGAGCTCCTAGCTCCTGGCTTCAGATTGGCTCAGCTCTGGCCATGCGTCTGCTTGGGGAGTGAACCATTGGATGGAACATCTTCCTCTCCTCTCTGTATATCTGACGTTCCAATAAAAATTAGTAAATCTTTTTTTTAAAAAAAAAAGACACGTGCAGGGAGCTGGAGGGGAAGTGGAGCAGCCAGGACATGAACCAGTGCCCATATGGACTGCCAGCACTTGCAGATAGAGGATTAGCCTGTAATACCATTCTGGTGGCCCCTCAGAATTTTTTAAAATTTTGTTTACACATCTAAATGAGTACTTCAGGTATACAAATAAATGAATAACGTTATTTCCCCCCATTCTGTCTTTTTAATGTGCCATCAAACGTTTTTAAATCACAAAATAATGTTTTACGTTTCAATCACACAGCACTTTCAGGGAGGGGCTGGCCTTTGGCACAGTGGATTGAGCCAATGCCTGCAACGCTGGAATGCCTTATTGGAACTGCTTGGAGTCCCAGCTGCTCCACTTCCATTCCAGCTCCCTACTAGTGCACCTGAGAAAGCAGCAGAAAATGGCCCAACTCCTGGCCCCTGGCTTAGTCCTGTCACTGCTGCCATTCAGAGTGACCTAGTGGGTGGAAGCTCTTTTAGTCCACCTTTCGATAAATACATCTTTAACAAAAAAGTTCAGAGTAGTGTTCCCAAATACATCATCTCATTTGAAGTCATCTTTAACCCGACCAACAGCTCCCGCCAGTCAATTAGGAACATCCCACAACAAAACCACCCGGGAACAGCGAGTACTGGGACTGTGGCTCCACCCGCCTACGGAAGACTACAAGAGCCAGTGTGCACTGCGCGTGCCCGGAAGGGGCAGCCGCATACACGTCATTTCCTGCATGCCCCTGCTGCTGGTAATCTGGGGCAGATTGAGGTGTAGGGTTGTTGTCAATGGCGTCGTGTTTGACTTGCCGATCGCTTTTCTGTAGGAAAAGGTTGTGAGGAGTGCACTCCTCCAAACGAGTGTCTCGTGCCTTTGTTTCCGGAAGTGTCCTCAGCCGCAGCGTGCGCGGCCAGCGCTTGCCGCCGGACCCAGTGAGTCCCGCGCTCACGTCGTCCCCAGCCCGCGGGTGCAGTGCGCCTGGCGTCCTCACTTCTTTGGAGTTCCCGTCCTGGTTTCTAAAAGAGCCAACAAAGCTCTGCTTCTGGGAGCTGCTCTAAAACCCTCATCCCCCGCCTAGCAGCTCACTTAACGAACCCTGGGAGAGAATGTGGATTCTTGGGTTGGTGGGAGGTGTGGACTCCTGTTCCCAAGGAATGAATGCCTGTTGAACTGAGTCCCAGGGTGGAGGCTATCAGAAGCAGCACGCACCCAGGCTCCCGCGCCCTTTGGTTTGCAGTGCTTAGCTGTGCCCATTGCCATACGACCTCATCTTGTCCCAAAAGAATTTGGATATAATTGAGTCTGGATGAGGTTAGGACAAGTCTAGTGACTTGATACCAAGCCAAAATCATCAAATGTTTTGTCATTTTAATCACAGTTGAGATTAATTACTCAGCACACCGGAGCAGTTGCTGTTACTGTTTTAATCCTCACAAAAACCCAAATAGTTTTGTTTCTGTTTTGAGACAGCATTCCCATCCACTGGTTTATTTTAAATGCCCACAAAAGCTGGGATTTCTGGGCTGAAGCTGAGAACTAAGAACTAACTCCAGGTCTTCCCACACTGGTGGCTAGACCTGATGAGTTCAGGCATCACCGCAGTCTTCCAGGGTCTCTGCTGTCAGGTACCTGGAGTCTGGATCCAGGTGCTCCATTCTGGGATGTGGTCATCCTAACCAGCATCTCAAACATGAGGCCAAATGCCCGCCCCGTCCAAATTTACACAGATGCAGAGAGGTCAGGAGCCAACCAGATAGGTAATTTGTGGAAAAATTAGAATTAAGCCCCCAGAAAGGGGCACCTGAAAGACCACACCTTTAAAGATCACAAACGGGAATTTGCTAGGGGGCACAGAATACCAGTGTACCACAGGGGAAAGAGCAGGAGACATGCTTGGAAAGGAGGACGGGGAAGAAGAGCCTTGTGGGTGAGGATGTGTCCAGAGCAAGCTGAAGTCTGCATCCCTCTGCTGTTTCCCAATGAAAACTGAGCCATCGTTCCATCGTGCTCTGTGTGGGATAGCAGATTGAGATTAAAAGTCAAGGAGTCTTGGAGCTGGGGGGCTTTAGGGCTTGCTCTTGGCTCTTTCATTAGTGATGGATGTGGCAGGAGAAATGGGCCATCAAGTTGAAGATAGAGGAGACTCCGTCTGAACAGTCATGGCGCCTTTGGAGGACCATGACATGAAGTCCTGGTGTGAGACTGCTGCCATCTTCCACTCATTCTCCTTTCAGTCCTTCAGATCGAGGCATCGACACCAGCTCTGACCATGTGGACGGCAGATGAGATTGCTCAGCTGTGCTATGAGCACTATGGGGTCAGGCTGCCCAAGCAGGGGAAGCCTGAGCCAGATCGCGAGTGGACTTTATTGGCAGCCATCGTGAAGATACAGTGTCCACCCGCGAAGCCAGGGCCAGGTGAGGTCTCTTCTCCTTGGGCTGCTGCCGCTGCCTGTCAGTGATGCTAGAACTGGTCAAGGCTATGCAGGGGTAGCTGTGGGCAGGGTGATAACTAGGGTAACGGAACTGGTTTCCACCAGGCTGGAACTGCAGTCATGTGGAGTCCATGGGAGGAATGGCCAGACCCTCTGAGAACTCAAGTGTTTTTTTCCTTTCAGTGACAAAGGAAGTTGTCTCGATGGGAACAGGAACAAAGTGCATAGGCCAGTCCAAAATGAGGAGGAGCGGTAAGCACCGGAGGGGACCTAAACAAACTGTCTTTCTGGGAACCGTAGAAACCAGGATCTAGGTGACCCCTTTCCCTCTGTTTGGGAAAAGAGGCCCAGTTGCTTAAGGTGGCTAACCTTTCATTGCCTACGAGTGTTGCTGCAGTTGGAAGGACAGTACTCCTTTACGCATGGAGATCCAACAGCAAAACAGAGCACCCTGGCCCCAAGGAACAAGCCTCCTGAATGAACTGAAAGCCAACCAAGTTTTGCCATGTCAGATCTGGAAGACTTTAGGGATTTGTAGCAAGTGGGGACCACAGCTTAAGTGACCTCAAAGCCCCAGAAAGGACTCTGAAATTAAATGGAGCTTTGGGCATCAATACGAATATGGGAATACCCCACTCCCACCCCCCAAAAATACAGGAATCCTTTAGGGGTCTATAATCTTCACCATCTGCTTCCAGTGACCAAGTTCTTTCATTTGCTTAGCTTGGTGTCCTTTCTGTGAGCGAGTTCTTTGAGGATCACTGCAGCCTAAACTTGATGGAACTGTATTCCCGGGAGCAGGCCTGTGCTAACAGGGTACAAGAATCTCTGGACTACTGTCCTTCACATAAATCTTTCTATAGATCAGAACTCCTGACGAAGCACAAGTCAGCACACCATGAAACATTTTGGACTGTCTAGAGACATTTTGGTCACCAACTGGGGGAGGAAGGTAACTCCCGCAGTTCATGGGTCAGGCATGCTGCTTAGTGTCCCGAGACACCGGGGAGACCCTCCCACGGAACATTCTGGCCTGTGATATCTGCAGGGCCGAGTTATACTCTGCTGTAAATGCAATGCTGTTAATGGTTAATATACTTCCTGGCAGGGGCCTCCAGGGGCTCGCTGGCCATCCTCAGTGCTGGGAGGACTGTTGCTTCTGGGGACAGGGACTATCCAGGCTCCATGTGCCTTCACCACTGTCTTGTCTTTGCCTCCAGGAGACATTCTCAACGATAGCCATGCAGAAATCATAGCCAGGAGAGGTTTCCAGAGGTAAGGCCACATTGTGGGAGACTCCAGTTTGACAGATCTGGGGTGGACTCAATAAATCTGCAATTCTAAAAAATTCCCAAATAATACAGTTTATGTTGTCTACAAACCTCATTTTGAATAGCCCTGTGCCCTGGGCTGGTGCTTCTTAAACTTGAGTGTGTATTGGAATCACCCAGCCAACTTCAGGCCCAGTCCCAGAGTCAGCAGATCCCGGGTGGAGCCTGAGCAATTGCATTTCTGACACATTGCCAGGTGATGCTGAGGCTTCCGGTGCAGGGACACTGAGAACCATTGATCTAATCACTTTCATGTTTCAGATAACCACCTGACGTGCCGTAACTGACTCTTAGGAAGCTGGCACTCCTTGGTTCTTATTGTATTGTACATCTTTAGGTACCTTCTCCATCAGCTCCAGTTGGCAGCCACTATGAAAGAGAGGAGTATCTTTGTCCCAGGAACTCAAAAAGGACTCTGGAAGCTCAGACCAGACCACTTTTTTGTGTTTTTCTCCAGCCACACACCCTGTAAGAATATTCAGGCTTTTGAATTAACATTGCATTGTCTGTTTTTTGTTTGTCTTACTTATTATAGATAAATTTCTCAAAAAGGAAGTAGGGGAGGGCACCACCTTTGGCAGTAGTTTACCAAAACTTCGCAAGATACGAAGCCAAAACTGGGGCTTAAAATTCCAAAATCTTACTATGATGGCTTATCCTGACACTCATTTCATTCACTCACTCATTGGAAGCATATTCTCTTAACTTGTGACACATTGGGTATATAGCAGACAATCAGACCAGTACATGGCTGACCCGCAGATAGTATTTCAGGGAATGTGCATAGCCACAGAGTGAATTTTGATGAGTTATAAGAGGATGTTATTGTAGCTGTTTCAGACAAAAAAAAGAGCAAGAGCATCAATTCTGTCCTATTTTTGGGTTCTGTTTTCTGATTTTGTCCTTGAAAATTAGAAATGTTGGGCCCAATGCAGTAGCCTAGTGGCTAAAGTCCTCGCCTTGCACGTGCTGGGATCCCATACAGGTGCCAGTTGATGTCTCAGTGGCCTCACTTGCCATCCAGCTCCCTGCTGTGGCCTGGGAAAGCAGTTGAACATGGCCCAAGGCTTTGGGATCCTGCACCTGCATGGGAGACCCAGAAGAGGCTCCTGGCTTCTGGCTTTAGATTGGCTCAGTTCCAGCTGTTGCGGCCACTTGGGAAGTGAATTAATGGATGGAATATCTTCTTTGTGTCTCCTCCTGTCTATATATCTTACTTTCCAATGAAAATAAATAAATTTCTTAAAAAAGAGTGGATGGGAAGTCTCCTCACTGGCACAGGGAAATACTGAAGATTTTGAAAACGCTGGTTTAGACCAGGCTGTGGACAGATGATCTTCCTCTCTGTCTCTCCTGCTCTCTGTATATCTGACTTTCAAATAAAAATAAATATATTTTTTTTAAGAAAGCCTATAAAAAATGAATTACTTTGGGATCTTTGTTTATTCAGTTTTTCAGACCTCCACTCTCCTGGAAGCCCCAACATGCTGGGTCCAGAAAAGGGTGTGTCAGTGAAGGATAGCTGGGAAGTGTGTGCGTGCTAACACTCTTTGCTCATCTTGGATCAGCTGGGAGAAAAGATTGATCTTCATTTACAGTGATTCTCGAACTTTACTGCTTGTATCATAATCTCTCTTTTTTTGCTGTTATGATTTATTTTATTTTTATTGGAAAAGTGGATATAGAGAGAGGAGGAGAGACAGAGAGGAAGATCTTCCGTCCAATGATTCACTCCCCAGGCGGCCGCAATGGCTGAAGCTGAGCCAATCTGGAGCCAGGAGCCAGGAGCTCTTCCAGGTCTCCCACATGCAGGTGCAGGGTCCCAAGGCTTTGGGCCGTCTTCGACTGCTTTCCCAGGCCACAAGCAGGGATCTGGATGGGAAGCAGGGCTGCTGGGATTAGAACCGGTGCCCATATGGGATCCTGGCGCTTGCAAGGTGAGGACTTTAATCACTAAGCTATAGCGCAGGGCCCGCATCAGAATCTCTTGGACAGCTTATTGTAACACATGTCTGGGTCCTGCCTTCTGGTGGACCCAAGTTATGGGCCCCCAAGTTTGTGTGTGACAAATTCCTGAGGGTCACTTAGAGCCAGTGGCTTAAGGAGTTCTTTGTGCTGCAGGCGGGGATGCCTCCATCATTCCAATGCTTGAGTTTGAAGAACAGCCCTGTTGCCCTGTCGACAGGGGTTGGACTGACAGCTACTCAGGCGAAGCCGCTGTTCACCTGGAAGCTCCTGGAAATAAAAGGACGTGTGACAGCTCTGTCAACCCTGCAAACAAAAAGATGAGGCTTGAGCCTGGTACCCCCGTCCAGGAGGTAGCCAATGGAGCAGCTCACCATGGGAAGCCCATCCCACCAGATGCCCGTAGCTGTGCTGTGGAGATACCGACTGCAGTCACCCGAATAGACCTCAGTGGTGCCAAAGTGGTAGATGTTTACAGAACCGGAGCCAAGTGTGTGCCTGGAGAAGCCGAGGACCCAAGGAGACCTGGTGCTGCGTACCACCAAGTGGGGCTGCTCCGAGTGAAGCCAGGCCGCGGTGACAGGACTTGCTCCATGTCTTGCAGTGACAAGGTGGCCCGATGGAATGTCCTTGGGTGCCAAGGTGCCCTGTTGATGCATTTCCTGGAAGAGCCCATCTACCTGTCAGCTGTGGTCATTGGGAAATGCCCATACAGCCAGGAAGCCATGGAGAGAGCGCTGGTGGGGAGGTGAGAGGACGGGGAGGGAGGCTCGGCGGGAGGCAGGCCAGTCCGAAAGGGGCCAGGGAGTCTTGGAAATGTTTTGATCCAATTCCGCTTTCTAGGGATGTCTGCACGGAAAAGGAAATGTTCAGATATTAAGCTTTGTGTAAGACAATGTTAAAGAAGAAAATGAAACTTGTTATACCCAGCAGTAGGAAATCAGGTGATTTTGGTTTTGTTTAAAATGATACTGTTGAATATTTAACTTGAAGACATGGCCGTCATGCTTAAGGGATGACTTAGAAGATAAAAATGAGCTCAGTTGGGTCTCAAAGTGTATGTGTATTAAAAAAAAACCTGTGAAAGGATGTATGTCACAGTATTAATTGATCTCTAAGCTGCGGCATTACAAGCAGTTTAGCTTTTCTGTTGTTACTGTTTTCTCGTACTTCTGCAATATACTTACATCACCATTATAATTTAAAAATCCCTTAGTTGTAACTTTTTTTTAAAGATTTTTTTCTTTTAATTTTTATCGGAAAGTCAGGTCTATAGAAGAGGAGAGACAGAGAAGATCTTCCGTCCAATGATTCACTCCCCAAGTGACTGCAATGGCCAGAGCTGAGCTGATCTGAAGCCAGGAGCCAGGAACTTCTCCCAGGTCTCCCACGCGGGTGCAGGGTCCCAAGGCTTTGGGCCGTCCTCGACTGCTTTACCAAGCAACAAGCAGGGAGCTGGATGGGAAGTGGGGCTGCTGGGATTAGAACCGATGACCATACGCGATCCTGGCGCTTGCAAGGCGAGGACTTTAGCCACTAGGCTACCATGCCAGGCCCCATTAGTTGTAACTTTTGGGAAAAATGAAATAATAGGATGACCACATTTATGACTGCTTCAGCATAGTCATCTCAGAGGAGGCAGCCCGATCTCGTTAATGCTGTGGTGAATGAGGGACAGGCAAAGCTATGGCCAGGGGAAGCATTTGGGCCCATGTCCAGCATATAGCACCTGAAGCAAACTTCAGAAAACAGTCCCAAGAGATGACCCAATGAAATAAATTTTAAAAGTACATAGCCAAGGGCCTGGCGGCGTGGCCTAGCAGCAAAAGTCCTCGCCTTGAACGTGCCAGGATCCCATATGGGCGCCGGTTCTAATTCCAGCAGCCCCACTTTTTTGTAAAGATTTATTTTTATTATGTTTTTATTGGAAAGGCGGATATACAGAGAGGAGAGACAGAGAGGAAGATCTTCCGTCCAATGATTCACTCCCCAAGTGAGCACAACGGCCGATGCTATGCCGATCCAAAGCCAGGAGCCTCTTCCGGGTCTCCCACGCGGGTGCAGGGTCCCAAAGCTTTGGGCCGTCCTCAACTGCTTTCCCAGGCCACAGGCAGGGAGCTGGAAGGGAAGTGGGGCTGCCGGGATTAGAACCGGCACCCATATGGGATCCCGGGCGTGCAAGGCGAGGACCTTAACCACTTGCGCCACCGCGCCGGGCCCAAATAATTCTTTAAAAAAAAAATACATAGCCAATAAAAATGAAAGCACATATTCACACAAAATTTGCATATAGATGCTCATAGCAGCATTACTCATATGGCCAAGAAGTAAAATAACCCCAATGTCCCTTACTAGAAGAATGAAGAATTACACAATGTTGTATATCCATTCAGACAATGGAATATATTCAAAAAGGACAACTGGGCCCGGTGTGGTGGCCTAGTGGCTAAAATCCTCCCCTGAACGTACCAGATGCCATGTTCTAATGTTCTAACCAAGCACCGGTTCTAATCCCGGCAGCCCTGCTTCCCATCCAGCTCCCTGCATGAGGCCTGGGAAAGCAGTCGAGGACGGCCCAAAGTCTTGGGACCCTGCACCCACATGGGAGACCCAGAAGAAACTCTGGGCTCCTGGCTTCAGATTGGCTCAACACTGGTCATTGCGGCTGCTTGGGGAGTGAACCATCAGACGGAAGATCTTCTCTGTCTCCCCTCTTCTCTGTACATCTGACTTTGCAATAAAAACAAAATAAACCTTTAAAAAAAAAGGACCGAACTACTGATAAATTCTCTCACTTGAATGAACTTTAAGAACAGCATGCTAATAAAATAAGTCATGTATCATACGATCTTTTATAGGTGAAATGTCTAGAAAAGTTAAATCCACAGAGACGGAGGATGACTGGTTGGGGGTGCAGGAGGAAGGGCCTGGAGAGTGACTGTCCTGTGGGTGTGAAGGAAACAATAGGAACGTAGATTTGCGTGATGGCTCCACAACTCTGTGAAAACACTAAAAACTAAAAACTGTTAAATTACACATTTGGGTAAAATCCTTTTTACATATCTTCTGTTGTCTCCATATATATGTTTGTGGTTTTTGTTGTGTTTTCAAAACCAGCTCTCAGCGTTGTGCCCAGGACATTTACTCCATTTTCTCTATTTTGGAAATTGAAGTTGACACTTGCTCAGTTCTGTACCAGCATCACGTTGGTACCTAGTTTATGTGAAAGATACAGAGAAAAAAATATGCTAAGATCTTTAAAAATAAGGAAAACAATAAGATAATTTTGGCTTCTGCTGTTTGAAACTTTCCCTAGGAAATTGATGCCCACGGGTTTGTATTTCTGCTGCGGGTTTTCAGGCTTCCCGACGCCTCTGTCAGGAATGTGTGGGTGTTATGGATGCTGCTGCCCTGAGTCCTGGGGAGGGACTGTCCCCGGCCATGAGGTCCCTGTGCTCTGGATTCCCTCCTCCTGCTGTCTGCTGCTGGCCTGAATACTGAAGCACTGCCACACGTGTCTGAGGGCCTCTGCTGCCCCTGCAGCCTACGGATGGTGATGGGGTTCACGATCCTGGATGCCCTTGCTCTGGCAGTGTACATCAACTTAATTCGTTTTTTCTTTTAGGTGTCAGAATGTTTCAACTCTACCCAAAGGCTTTGCAGTTCAACAGCCAAACATACAGCAGTCAGATTTGCAGTTTGAACAGAGCCGCTGCGCAGTACAGGCAAGGAAAGGTGACAGTCCAGGCCGACTTGTTCCCTGTGGGGCAGGTAAGGGATCCAAGTTAGGCCTACCCTGGAGTCACATCTGTGACCAGGAGTAGCCTGCCAGCTTAGGAAGGCAGCGTGACCGGCCGAGCAGTCAGTAGTGTGGGCGTTAGGGGGCCAAGCTTCTGCTGTGTGTGACTTGAAACGAGCTACTTATTATCCTCTTGCTGCCCAGCTTTCTCTCCAGGTTAGAAGATTGTGGTTATTGGGAAGTTTGAGAAACTATTTAGTGCATTTACTTTATGCCCAGCATATAATAAAGCTCAGTGATTGTTAGTGTGACAGTGGGTCAGGAACCTCCTTACCCTATTGTATGCTGGAGTCACTATCTCTGATGTCATATCTAACTGTCAGGGACCTGCAAAGTCAGAGAAATAGGTTTTTTAAATATTTGTGGTATTCAAAAAACATGCACAGTTTTAACCTCGAAATCTTACCTTTTTGTAGCCATCAGCTGGAGCGCAGTTCCTGAACAGCCATTAGATGTTACTGCCAATGGCTTTCCCCAGGGAACTACAAAGAAGAAAATTGGAAGCCTTCAAGCCAGGTATAGAATATTAGGCAAGAAAGATGAGACAGAGTGAAAAATCTTCCAGCTGCTAGATCACTCCCCAAATAGCCCCAATGGCTAGAGCTGAGCCAGTCCGAAGCCAGGAGCCAGGAGCAACTTCTCGGTCTCCCACATGGGTGCAGGGTCCCAAGGCTTTGGGCACATCAACTTCTGCTTTTCCCAGACCATCAACAGGGAGCTGGATGGGAAGTGGAGCAGCCAGGATACAAATGGGTGCCTGAATGGGATTCAAGCACTTGCAAGAGGAGGATTAGCCAAATGAGCCACTCTGACTCTCCCTCTCCCAAAACCATATTTTTTTAAAAGATATATTTTTATTTGAAAGGCAAATTATCCAGAGTAAGAAGGAAATATAGAGAAGGTCTTCTATCCACTGATTCACTCCCTAAATGGCTGCATTTTGGCCACAGCTGAGCTGATCTGAAGCTGAACTCCAGGAGCTTTTTCTGGATCTCCGATGTGGGTAGAGAGTCCCACGGCTTTGAGCCATTCTCCTCTGCCTTTCCAGGCAATAAGCAGAGAGCTGGATTGGAAGTGGAGCAGCTGGGATATGAGCTGGTACCCACGTGGGATGCGAGCTCCACAGGGTAGAGGATTAGTTTGCTGTACTGTCACACCAGTTTCCCTCGCCATTTTTTGCAAATAGGGAGAATTCTTCATTGAATTTTGCCACTAGAGATTTTGATTTAATGCATAAGCATTGGAACCTAGGAATCGTTCATGAAGCTTTGCAGTGTTCGGACAGGTGAGAAGAGCTGAAGTGTAGGCCCTGTAGCCGCTGACGTAAGAGAGCATTTCACTACTGGAGGTTCACATACCTGCTTCTGTGTGCCTCTCTTACTGAAGCCTTGGCCAAGCTCACCAACTCTGCTTTCCTGTCTGGTGGTTTTGAGGTGGTCTGGAATAGCCAGAGGGTGGAGGGGTTTGCAGGAGAGTGGCCTGCCTGCTGGAGAATCTCCGCCCTAGTCTGAATCGAGCTGCCACCTGCATGACTGTTGCAGGACTTCCACAGTTTACAGCTGGTCTCTAATTTTTTTAAAGATTTATTTATTTTTGGGGCCCGGTGCAATAACATAGTAGTTAAAGTCCTCACCTTGCACGCGCCAGGATCCCATATGGGCACCAGTTCTAATCTCAGCGGCTCCACTTCCCATCCAGCTCCCTGCTTGTGACCTGGGAAAGCAGTCGAAGATGGCCCAAAACCTTGGGACCCTGCAACTGCGTGGGAGACCTGGGAGAAGTTCCTGGCTCCTGGCGTCAGATTGGCTCAGCCCCAGCCGTTGTGCTCACTTGGGGAGTGAACCATTGGACGGAAGATCTTCCTCTCTCTCTCTCCTCCTCTCTGTATATCCACCTTTCCAATAAATTTTTTTTTAAAAGTTCACAGATGGATTTGTTTTGTTTCTTTTTGACATGCCATTTTGCTTGCCTCTAAACAAGAAAATCCAACTTACATGTTTTTACCCTTTTTTGTTTTGTTTTTGTGAAAGCTGTTTCTACAGCCGCTGATTGCCAGGGCTCAAAGAGCCTCCACAGCCGAGCCGCCAACATCCAGTAGCACAGGCTATAGAGTTGATCATATATACTAAATTGTTGGGGGTAGGGGTTTCTGGAAGCTTTTTCTTGCTGCTATTGGGCCATCTTTGTACTCCCTGGGAGACCGGCCCTCAGCCACACACCACAGAATAGAGCAGAGCAGGTCACGTTTCCTACCATGCCATCTCATCAATGACAGCCTCGCCATCTTCCGTCTGTGCCTTCGGTATGGCTGCCTTGCTCAGAATAAAGGTGTTCTTTTTCTCTTTTTAAGATGTGTTCCTACTATTCTTATTTGAAAGGCAGAGTTACAGAGAGACAAAGAGGAAGAGAGAGATTTCCGATTCTCTGTTGACTTCCACAACATGTGGAAGATAGGAGCTTCAGCCACATCTCCCACGTGGTGCAGGGGCCCAAGCACGTAGGACGTTAGGCATTAGTAGGGATCTGCACTTAAACGTGTGTCTATATGGGATGCCAGTGTCACAGGTGAAATCTCAGTCCGTTACACCACTCTGCCAGGCCCAAATGCTCTTCTTTGCCAGGTCCATACCCTCTTGTTTTTATTATTATTTTTTTATTTGAAATGCAGATTTACAGAGAGAAAGATAGTCCATCGGCCAAGACTGTGAGTTGTTAACAGACACGGCATCTCCCATCTTCTAGAGGTGTTTTATGAATTTGTGTGTGAGCAAAGGAAGGCATCATGTACTCCTGTAGCTAAGGTTGTGTCTGACCTGGATGAACAGAAACCCAGAAGGTGTAGGTGGGCTCATAAGCAATTAGCATTCCCTTACAGAATCCCTGGCAGTGGGCTCTGGCTGAGGACAAGTTTTAATCACATCCTGACCTCTGCCTTCCTAACCTGGTAGTGCTTTCCATTGCCTGTAAACATTATTACACATTTTTACCTTAAAAGGAAGTAGCCAGGGAGTCAGTGCAATGGCTCAGTTAGCTAATCCTCTGCCTGGAACCACCAGCATCCAATATGGGAGCCGGTTTGTGTCCCAGATACTCTACTTCCCTTCCAGCTCCCTGCTTGTGACCTGGAAAAGCAGTGGAAAATGACCCAGAGTCTTGGGACCCTGAACCCACTGGGAGACCTGGAAGAAGCTCCTAGCTCTTGGCTTCAGATTGGCTAGCTCTGACCATTGCAGTAATTTGGGCAGTAAACCAGCAGATGGAAGGTATTTTTCTCAGTGTCTCTCTTCTCTCTGTAAATCTGCCTTTCCAATAAAAATAAATAGATCTTAAAAAAAAATTAGCTAGAAGAGTCTTACAGATATGTGGGAGCCAAAGTATAGTGGTTCTACCCTAGTGTTCCCCAGTTGAGCTTGTCACTTGAATGATTCCATTGCTGATGCTGGTGTTTGTTAAGGACCTGGTACATAGTAAATGTTCAATAAATTATCTTTGCCTTCTTTTTCCAAACAGATCCCGAATCAGCAAAGTGGAACTCTTCAGATCATTCCAAAAGCTACTCAGCAGCATGGCAGAGGACAAGTGGCCAGACTCCCTCAGGTGACGCCGCAGGCTTGGGTTTTTTCTCACTTGGGAAGCCTTCTGTTTTAATTCAGTTTATGAGTGGTGGGAAGCTTTTAGCAGGATAGTGGATTAAACAAGCCCGTAGGAACTATTGTTGATTGCGTGCTGTGCTGTCTTCTCGGCCCTGCTTAGCATTGGGTAGGAATTTAGAGGGTCTGCCTTGTCACCAGTGGTCAAAATGGGCCACCTTGGACTTTGATCTGAAGTCATTCAGGAAGGAGCAGTTCTGCACTGAACTGTTTACCAGAACACAGGAGGAACATTTGTGTACACAGCAGTATTGTTTTCCTTGTCTATAAATTACTCTCCCCACCACACACACACACTCTTAACCAACAAAATCCTGTAGGAAATTGATCAATCAACTAGAATCAGTATTTGCTACAAGAAGCAACTTTTCTGAGCCAATGCAATGGATCAACTATATGTCAAGTAGGACTAAGAAAGAACTTGGATCCCTTCGGATCTCAGTGAAAAACAAGAGAAGAAACCGGATAAAATTGAAACTCTAAGACATGAATTTCTTCTCTTTATTTTATCTGATTTGTTGGAAGAGTTATTTGAAAGATAATTACAGAGACAGAGACAGGAAGAGAAAGACCTTTGATCCCATGGTTTGCCTCAAATGGTCAAGGCTGGGCCAGGCAGAATTAAGGATCCTGGAACTCCCGCCAGGTCTCCCATGTGGGTGCAGAGGCCCAGGCACCTGGGCTATCCTCCATCACTTTCCCATGTGCTTTTTTATAGGGAGCTAGATTGGAAGTGGAGCAGCTGGGATTCAAACTGATGCTCATGTGTAATGCTGGGGTTGCAGGCACAGCTTACCCTGCACGACAGCACTAGCGGCAGACATCAGCTTCTTCAGTTAGAAGATGGCAATAGTTACATTATGTCACAAGTTAACCAAGAAGATGACAAGGGGTTATATAAAGCACCTGATCCAGATCTGATAGTAAAGTTTTGATAACGAGTCACTGTTGTTTTTCTTTGATCAACACACGCTGCATGGCTGAGATGTGTGAGCCCCAGAATGTTAAAGAAAAGTGTCCAGTCACTTATTAAAGATAATAAGGAAGCAGGGTTTTATAGTAGGAAAAAGAGATGGGCCGAACTGCAAATTCAAACACAAGTAGAAACTTGGAGCCAAGGAGCAAGGTGTGGGGGTCAGTGGATGGAAGATACTAAGGGAACATCAGAGCTAGGGGTTCTCTGCTGAAGGCAGGCAAGGGGGATAAGATGCTAAGATTAAGGAATGAGAAATTTGCTTCAGTATTGCCGGAGATTGAATAACAAGAAATTTGAGGCTAAACTGGCTCAACGGGGTTCTTGATAAAATGAAACTAAGTAGGCCCAGGCTTTAGTCAAAAAGAGGACTCAGAGTCTGACTCACGTTTGCTCAGGGTTATTAGAAAATCCTGTAAGTGGTGAGTGAGCAGTCAGAGACGGCTGGTGGATTTGTGGAGGTATGTTGAACACAGGATGTTAGAAGGAGGCAAGGCATAGATAAGGTGAAAGTGGCTTGTTAGAAAAACCAGAGCAGTAAGTTTCTAATCTCAAGATCCTGTGGAAGTTGTAAATCCTTAGGAAACTTTAAACAAACAAACAAAAAAAATGTTATTCCAGTTGACTGTGATTCTACTAGGATACAAAACTAGCATTCTATTCATTCTTGTGCTAATCCATGTTGCTTTCTAGTGAGTTCGCTAAGAAGCAGACAGGGGTGCTCTAGGAAAGCTTGCTAAAATACTTCTGCTCCTGCGGTTCTGGTTCTAATTCTATCCCGAGGTGGGCTGCATGGTGAGAATCTGTACGCTTGGTGTGGTGTGTGCATTAGGGGGCAGAAGCTGGAGACCTACCAGGAGTACAAGGAGGCAGCAGCCGCTTACCAGGAAGCCTGGAGCACACTCCGAAAGCAGGCCTTTGGATCCTGGATCAGAAACCCACCGGACTATCACCAGTTTAAATGAGAAGAAGTTGTCGGAAGGCTTGCGGGAAGCAAGGCCCTTGAGCTGCCTCCTTCCTTCATAGCAAGCATACCCCAGCTTTTCTGGTGACTGACTCAGGAAAGCAGGGTTTGGGGAGAAGCCTTTTGCTGGAGCACTGTGCCTCAGGTGTGGTACAGATGGACTCCAGAATAGAGAGAATGTCCTCAGCTGATGTAACTCTGCACAAGTGGCAGTTCAGCAATGACTTCAGCATCTGACTTGAAGTCCGGCTCACTGGACCTGGCTGATACCATTCTTGCTCTCTCAGGGAAGAGCTCGTGAGCCAGGCCTGCACAACCCAAAACTATTCTCAGAGCTACCAGGGAAGTCTCGTTTTGCCTGCAGCTGTGAGGGCACATTGGCAGACCACATGTGCCAGTGACCATCATTTCCTAGCATAGACGACCAGAGAACAAAGCAGCAGCAAAGCAGTGAACAAAGCAGTCAAAGCTCAAGAGATACTGTCGGCATGCCTGAACCCAGTGCCCGCCCTGGATTTGCTTCTGTGAGACACATCCCTGCTGTTAAATTGAGCAAGGTTGTTTTAAAAAGCCCCAGGTCCCGGTGCAGTAGCCTAGTGGCAAAAGTTCTCACCTTACACACCAGGATCCGATAAGGGTGCCGGGTCTAATCCCAGCGGACCCCACTTCCCATCCAGCTTGCTGTTTGTGGCCTGGCAAAGCAGTCAAGGACAACCCAGGGCCTCAGGACCCTCTACCCCATAGGAAACCCGGAAGAGGCTCCTGGCTGCTGGCTTCTAATCGGCACAGCTCTGGCCGTTGCGGCCACTTGGAGAGTAAGCCATCGCACGGAAGATCTTCCTCTCTGTCTCTCCTCCTCTCTGTATATCTGACTTTCCAATTAAAAAAAAAAATCTAAAAAAGAAAAAAGAACATCTGGTGTGATGGTTCATCTTGGAACAAGCAAGTCCCAGTGCTGTCTCTTTCAGGTCTGCCTCCAGCTACCTCCTCCCCTCCCTCTGCAGGTTGTAAATCACCGTGTTCCTCTTCCTCTTGGCTCTCTTCAAGAGCGTTAACATGGTCCCGGTGGCGTGGCCTAGCGGCTACAGTCCTCACCTTGAACGCACCAGGATCCCATATGGGCGCCGGTTCTAATCCCAGCAGCTCCACTTCCCATCCAGCTCCCTGCTTGTGGCCTGGGAAAGCAGTCAAGGATGGCCCAAGGCTTTGGGACCCTGCACCCATGTGGGAGACCTGGAGGAAGTTCCTGGCTCCTGGCTTCGGATTGGCACAGCACTGGCTGTTGCAGTCACTTGGGGAGTGAACCATCAAATGAAAGATCTTCCTCTTTGTCTCTCCTCCTCTATGTATATCTTTGCAATTAAAATTTAAAAATCTGAAGAAGAAAGAAAGAGGGCTAGCACAGGAGAACCACCCCTGGAGGCTGTTAGACCCACTCAAGACAGTGATTAACAAAGGCTTGCATGTCCTGGCCTTTGTAACAGGACCTTTGACAGCCTGGCTCCTGGGGACTTAGAAATCTGTATGTTCTTAGACAAGGTGCCTACCCTAAAAACGTGGGTGATGGCTGCTCTGTAGTTTAATAAAATCATTTCTTCGCTAAGCATCTTGTCTGATCAGTCCTGACATTGGATTATTTCTACTTTTTGGCTTTTATGTTGAACCTGTTTTGGTCATTCATGGAAACATTTTTGTGTAAATGTGTGTTCTTAAGTCTTTCAAGTGTTTATTTTCATCTATCTGAAAAATACCTTTGGTGGCTAGTTCATTCCCCCATGTGACACAACAGCCAGCACTGGGCAAGCTGAAGCGAGGAACCCAGAATTCCATCTCAGCCTCCCATGTAGGTTGTTGGGGGTCCTGTCAGTCGAGCCGTCTTCTGCTGCCTTAGCAGGAAGCCGCGTCTGGAGTGGAGCAACTGGGTTGAGGGGAGAGGGAGTGGGGGAGGCTGGAAGGGGAAATCCCTGAGCCTAAGGAAGTGTGTCATGAAAAATAAAGAATTATTTAAATAAAGAAAGAAAGAAGTAGAGCCACTGGGAGCCAAACTGAACCTGCCACTGCGATTTGGGGTGTGAGCATCACAAGCAATGACAGTGACAGGTGCTGCCTCACAATACCTGTGTTAGCTTTTTTGCTACAAACCCAAAAGCCAGTCGCAGTAATTCACTGAAGGAGGTCTTTATTTCAGCGGGGGAGGTAGCCATGGAGCAGGCGGGAGCAGAGAGACACAAAGAGAAGAGCAAAGCAGAGAGAGCACAGGAAGAAGAGAGAACAAAGGGCAGAGGCAGCTGTACAGCCTCGGTGGGAATGGGGAGTGTGGGCTCAGGGACTGGCAGGTGCTGCTGCAGGTGAGACAGGGATAAATACCTCAGAATTGATGGACTGCTTGGCTTGAACCTGAAGGTCACTAAGCCTTAAGGGGGCCAAAACCTAAGGGATTTACTGTAAGCTGGCACCCCAGGGGCCCTGAGCCCAGGATGGAGGGATGTTCGAGCCACTCCTTACAGCCTAGTCCCTTAAATTTTCAAAAATTAAGGAATATTGGAGCCAGCTGGTGGCATAATCGGCCACCTGCAGCACTAACACCCTAACATCCCATATGGACACCCGTGTGTGTGTGTGTGTGTGTGTGTGTGTGTGTGTGTGTGTGTGTGTGGTTACATATTTGTTTCAATCTGATAGTCATACAAAACTGCCTCTGATCCCAGTTCTGCAGAATGGTCTTTCTACAAACAAAGCACTTTCTGGAATTTGGCTCTTTCAGGGAAACAGATTTGAGATGCTTTGAGATTGGTTGCTGCTTTGTTCTGGATTCCTAAATCGGTTCTAACACAACGACCGTAGGTATGCGTGTTTTTCTTTTCCTAGAATCTTTAAAACTTGGCTTGATTTAACTCATTTCCAGTGCTCCAGAGCCTGCAGTTAAAAGCCTTGTTTTATGGATGAATGTATCAGGGCCAAGCATGAGCTCACTGTCTGGGGAAATGGAGCTCCTGTGGAGCAAATGACCTGCCCTGACCGCCGGGGCCTCTGGGCAGAAGCAACACAGGCCCTGTCCGATCCCGTTGTGTCTGTGGCTGGTGGAAAGCTGCCTGGGCCTTGGCGACATCTATTGGCTTTAAGATGATGTTCCAAGAAAATTGTAACTGAAGTTTGCCAGTTAGTGAAGCCTAGTTCCCTTCCTGGCTGGTTAAATGGCAGGGTCAGTGTTACCATTTCAACTGCCCCTGCCTTCCTGTGATGGTTTCTCTCTGGGAGCTCCAGATGAACCATTAACAATGAGTCCCAGTGCAACAGAACAGTTATGGAAACCAGAAAGCAGTGCCCAGTAGAAAAATGACATCCCTGTGCTCACTTCCAAGGGCTCAGGCAAATCTTTCCACAGACACAGAGGCAGCTCCCCGAAGGAAGGGCTCAACTCAGGAGCCAGGGAGAGATGTTTTGGAGCACCTTCAGTCTCCAGGCAGAAGAGCTCTTGTTTACACCACAGATGGAGGAATTGCAGTTAGCTTTGGCATCCTGTAAGCGGGCATCCGATCAATCTAAATGGGCCTGTGGGGCTGAGGCCGACCTCCGTCAGCCTGTGCAGATGGACCCAGAACAAATGTGCAGATCTGTGCTCCGACAGTGAGAGGAAGATTGTGTAGAGACGTGGCAGGGCTCCCGGCAGTCGTATGGGTTCAGTTTTTATCCCTTCCACCTGGAGCCCCAGAGCAGATCCAAGTAGACAGAAGTCAGAGCAGTGGTAACTGTCATGAGGTTTAGCATGGGAGGGAGCAGAGGCTGGAGTGGAAGGAAGGTTTTTAACAGAGCGTTTATGGGTTGCAGGTATGTGAATGTTTGTCAGAATTTATTAAGGAGCACACTTAAGATCTGTGTGCTTTATTGCATAAGTATGATTCCTTTTTTTAAGTGTTTTTATAATTTATTTGAACGGCAAAGTTAGAAGAGATTTTTTTGGTAAGATTTGTTTTTATTGGAAAGTCAGATATACAGAGAGGAGGAGAGACAGAGAGGAAGATCTTCTGTCTGATGATTCACTCCCCAGGTGAGCGCAACGGCTGGTACTGCACCGATCCGAAGCTGGGAACCAGGAACCTCTTCTGGGTCTCCCACACAGGTGCAGGGTCCCAAAGCTTTAGGCCATCCTCAACTACTTTCCCAGGCCACAAGCAGGGAGCTGGATGGGAAGCGGGGCTCCTGGGATATGAACCAGTGCCCACATGGGATCCCGGCACATTCAAAGTGAGGATCTTAGCCACTAGGCCACGCCGCTGGGCCCAACAAGAAATCTTCTATCCACAGGTTCACTCTGCAAATTGCCACAGTGGCTAGGGCTGACCCAGGCTGAAGCCAGGAGTTAGGAGCTTCATCTGGGTCTCCAACATGGCTGCAGGTGCCCAAACACTTATGTCATCCACAGATGCTTTCCTAGGTTCATTAGCAGGGAGTTAGATCAGAAATAGAATACCTGGGCCTTGGACCAGTACCTTTATGGGATGCCACCATTGCAGGTAGTGGCTTAACCAGCTATACCATGATGTTGGCCCCCAATACTTCCATTTAAAATGTGTAGCATCATATTCCTTAACAGTTACTTGGTACAGTAGAATAAACTTGCATTCTAGATGTTAAGTGATTATGTTCTGGTAACAACTTTATCACTGATTTCTTACATGGTTGTGGGCAGAGTCATTCGTGATGTCTAGCCTCTTATCTCTTCTACGAAATGAGGTCCCAGCCGTGAGGCTGTTCAGTTGTTTTTAACTGAAAGATGGGCTTGCTCCCAACAGTCCTTGCCTGAATGCACCATGCCGAGCGGCAGAGGAAGCTGCAGCCGTGCGTGCTGTGAGACACATATGGCTCCCGGCATGGCAGGTTCCAGAGAGCGCTGGGAGCAACTTCTGTCTTCCTCTTGCAAGCTGGCCTCTGAATGTGGGTGTGGAGCTTGTGCAGGGATAGGGTGAGCCCCTAGAGCTGAGCCACAACAGCACAGCTCATCAGTAACCACAGGAAGGAAAGTAACCAGACAAGAGAAAAAGCAGAGGCAGAGGACCACGCAGAGCAGGGTCCCAGGCTGCCAAATGCTAGTCTGGGGAAGAGCTCACAATAGACGCAGTGCTGGCCTCGGCCCCAGCAGCCCAAAGTGAAAGCACATTGAAACCGGCCACAGCTCCACGGGAGCAGTACACCTGTCCCTTGGTGGTGAAATGAACCTGACCCAGAGCCCATGCTCAGCATCTTCCTTCAGTTCAACAAGACCTTTCTGTGTAGCCTCTCATGAAATGTGAGAAATGATGCCTTGGGCAGCCCCAAGCTTTACCCAGCAGTGGATAAACAATTGCATTTTGCCTGTTTGAATTTGATCTGATTCATTGGGAGAATGAAGGAGCTATTCTTGATGTCTGTCAGGACCTTCCTCTTCCTTCCCCGTGTTTCTGTGCATGCATCCCTCTCCCAAGGGTCCTCAGGGGCCATGCACAGGGCACCTGTCCAGCCACTGCTCCGTGCTGTGCTTTGGTTCCTCAGCCTACTTGGGGCCACCCGAAGCATCCTTCTGGGCTCCTTGTCAGTAACTGCAGGGCTGAGAAACCAGCTGGCAGGGAGAAGAGGGGGCATGGGCTAAGGCAGGCACAGACTATACAGCCACAGGTGAGGGAGGGCTGCTCAGTGTGCCGGCCTTAGGGAAGGACTAAGCCTGGAGGGCAGAGCCCTCAGGAATGGTGTTCATGTTCTTGTGAAGGGGAACCCAGAAAGATTCCCCAGCCCTATGGGCATGAGGGGAAATAGCAAGATGACTTGTTAGACACCAGATCTGCCATCACTTTGATCTTGGAATTCCCAGCCTCAAAAACTATGAGAAATAAATTTGTTATTAGCTGTCAGGACATTTTGTTGCCCAAACAGACAAGGGCCAACAAAAAGTTGATTGATTGTGTAGACTGGGGAATTCTGTTCTGAATGTATGTTAAATGATAGTGCAAAATCCTTATTTTCAGGAGAAGAAAGTTCAACAAAGAAAGTGGGCAAAAGTGAACTGGAAAATGTATTTCCTGTCCAAAAAGGAGACTTTTTTTGTTGTTTTTCGTTCTAATTATTGCCAAATCCTTTTTAAAGATTTATTTATTTATTGGAAAGTCAGATATACAGAGAGGAGGGGAGAGAGAGAGGAAGATCTTCCGTCCAATGATTCACTCCCCAAGTGACCGCAACGGCCGATGCTATGCCGATCCGGAGCCAGGAGCCAGGAACTTCCTCCAGGTCTCCCACACGGTGCAGGGTCCCAAAGCTTTGAGCCATCCTCAACTGCTTTCCCAGGCCACAAGCAGGGAGCTGGATGGGAAGTGGAGCTGCCAAGATTAGAACTGGCGCCCATATGGGATCCTGGTGCGTTCAAGGTGAGGACTTTAGCCACTAGGCCATGCTGCTGGGCCCAACCAAATCTTTTTAAGATTTGTTTATTTTTATTACAAAGTCAGACATACAGAGAGGAGGAGAGACAGAGAGGAAGATCTTCTGTCCGATGATTCACTCCCCAAGTGGCTGCAACGGGTGAAGCTGAGCCCACCCGAAGCCAGGAGCCCACGCGGGTGCAGGGTCCCAAGGCTTTGGGCCATCCTGTACTGCTTTCCCAGGCCACAAGCAGGGATCTGGATGGGAAGTAGGGCTACTAGAACTAGAACCGGTGCCCATATGGGATCCCGGCATGTTCAAGGCAAATACTTTAGCCACCAGGCCACCGCGCTGGGCCCTGATTATTGCCAAATCTTTTTTTTTTTTTTTAAAGATTTATTTTTATTATTTTTCATTGGAAAGGCGGATATACAGAGAGGAGAGACAGAGAGGAAGATCTTCCATCCGATGATTCACTCCCCAAGTGAGCGCAACGGGCCGATACTATGCCGATCCGAAGCCAGGAGCCTCTTCCGGGTCTCCCACGCGGGTGCAGGGTCCCAAAGCTTTGGGCCGTCCTCGACTGCCTTCCCGGGCCACAGGCAGGGAGCTGGAAGGGAAGCAGGGCTGCCGGGATTAGAACCGGCGCCCATATGGGATCCTGGGCGTGCAAGGCGAGGACTTAACCACTTGCGCCACCGCGCCGGGCCCGATTATTGCCAAATCTTAAGAATATTTTGGGCCCGGTGCCATGGCCTAGCTGTGGCTCCAGAATGCACTGTTTGTATGGTCTTGGGTGGGTCACTGCTTTCTCAGCCCACCGGGTTCTCTCCTTTGGCAGTGGGGTTGTGGAGAGGAGATGAAACTGTACAGCCCAGGTGTGAGGCCACTGCCACATAGGACTGCGGCCCACTTGTCACTGCAGGACTGAGCTCAGAAGGGACTCCTTTTATGAGCAGGTACCACAGTGCAGTAGGTTGCTTGGTGCTTGGGATACTTGCATCCCCAACCAGAATGCTGATTCAAGTTCCAACTCCCTGCTAATGACCTTGAGAAGTCACATTGGACAGCTCAGGTTCTTGAATCACTCAAACCCAACTGCCGCCCACACCAGATACCCAAATGGGAGTTTCAAACTCCTGGGTTCAGTCTGGCCCCTGCCTCAACTGTCGTGGAGTGACCCACAAGTGGAGGATCCGTCTTTATCACTCTTCCTAATTAATTAAGAAATCATTTTCCCTAATCTGCTATTCCCAATTTGCTATGTTCTCATTGCTAAATGTAGGAAGTTGTCGGCAGGAGAAACCCAGCAGGCAGTCTCCCTCCGTGGGTGCTTGCACATTTGCTCACACACCCTGTTCCATCCTTCTGGAACCGCAGCTTGTCTCTGGGGCTGAAGCAAGGAGGCAGAGCTGTTGATTACAGGGGAACACATACATCCTCCCACCTAACTTGTGGCTTAGCCTTCCTGGTTGGTTTTCTCCCAGGCAAAATAATGATGAAAAAAGGCATTGTGCTTTTTAAAGCTTCCTGCCATTCATTCTAAGGACAAGTACATCTTTTGAGAATAAGAACATTTATCTCCTTCCAAATTCTCCAAAGACTCCCAGGCCACCGTGGAAGACACACCTCAGACTGAGGTGCCAGTCAAGGAGCAGCATGACTGGCCTTACCCTTTGGCCTGGGGGCAGCACAGTGCCTGGCACAGTGATGGTGCTGGAGGCTCAGTGGCTGTCTGACTACCTGGAACAGAACACAGGCCTAACAAGCGTGGATACAGCTCTTTTGTGGCCGCAATGCCTGAGGACACGCGGTGGTCACATGAAGGGCAAGGGGTACGCTTGTGTGCCAGGGTTTAGTATCTTCCACGGTGGCTGTTGATTTTCACATTTGGCTTATAAATAAAATAATAAAAACACTCCCATATTTTTTCAGTTGGTTTTCATATCTTTACTCTTATGAACAAGGTTATAATTCTTACGCATATTTCTATCATGTTTGGGGATATTTCTAGCATACATACCCACAAGTGGATTCTGGGCTAGCAAGTGGCACACGCTGGAATTGGTAGAAGTGCAACATACAGAGTGGCCTTTCATGAGGTAAGTTTTTTTTTCATTTCTGACCCTTTATGTCCTCCCTCTCGTGGGGTTTAAATATGCTGCTGTTTTATACCAGCTTGTCTTTCTGATCACATTTCTTATTCTGTATACTAGTTTATATTTAAAGTGTTTTTACCCTATCTATGACTTTGTTTACAGTGCCTGTCTGTGCAGAAGTTTCTTTTAATGTCCATATTAGTCTTTGCCATGATGGTTTCTTTCCTTTCCTGAGCGCTGCCTCTACTCCAGTGTCAGAAACTCTTAGTTTTGCTCTTTCCACATTTACACTTTTAATTCACCTCAAATTCATCTATGACATAAGCATAAAAATATACAAAAATATACCAAATCAGGTGTAGAGTCATGGATCAACTAGATGACGTTCTCTTCCACGCATCGCTGTTAGCTTTGGAACGTGGATCTTTCTGCTGTGTCCCACTGTCTTCTCTCTCCGAATCACTTGACATCTAAATTGCTGTTGCTTCCAGATCATTCCATACTCTCTGCTAAGTCTTCCAGGTTGCCTTTGTTAGCACTCTCAATTATTCTTGGTTCCTTGTTCTTTTGGTGGAGTTTAGACTCAATTGGCAGATTTTAAAATCTAGGATTTTTGTAAATTTTATCAAACTCAAACTAATGAATGTATGTTTTTATGATTCTGGGTACTCTTGGCATGTTGGTATAGCTCCTTAAAGTAGGCGGTCTGTGTGTACTTCAGTACTTCATTGTTTTTCTCCATGAAGGTCTTAGATGTCTGTTAATTGCCATTGCTAATGAGACTACCTCTAGAATTTTGTAATCTGTAAGTAGCCAGCTGTCACGTGCCCTTTGCATGTGTTGACTAGTTTATTCCCTTAGCCGTCTGTCATGCTATTTCTGACATGTTTCACACATAGGGAAACATGTTCTGGTTTCTGTTCCTGTTTGTCTATCTCATTGTTGATATCACACTGCCTTGTTTACTGTAAACTTGTACAATACAGTCCACTATAGATTGCCTACTGGTTCCTTTTATCAAATGAAAGAAATAGAATTTTGCTTTTAACTTACTAAAAGTTTTAATTATGAGTTTTCAGGAGATTTGTGTAATAATATTATGAGTTTAAAGTCGTTTACTTGGGCCCCGGCAGCATGGCCTAGCGGCTAAAATCCTCGCCTTGAATGGCACCAGGATCCCATATGGGCACTGGTTCTAATCCCAGCAGCTCCACTTCCCATCCAGCTCCCTGCTTGTGGCCTGGGAAAGCAGTTGAGGACAGCTCAGGGCCTTGGGACCCTGCACCTGCGTGCGAGATCTGGAGGAAGTTCCTGGCTCCTGGCTTCGGATCAGCGCAGCTCCGGCCATTGTGGTCACTTGGGGAGTGAGTCCCACTGTGTCCGGTTATACAGCCTCTTAAATCAAGAACTACATGAAGGCAGCCATCATTTACTGCTTCCTGTCCATGGCTCTGCAGCCAGGACCCCTCCAAAGCCCTCCTCCTGGCTGGGCAGACACAGGAGCCACTTCTCTCACCCATCCAAATGAAGGTGAACAAAGGACATGGTCACACAGCAATGCCTTTATAAGAGGAAATTTTATTGTTAATTATTTATTTTCATAGTTTCAGAAAGAGGAACAGGTTTAGCTCAGTCCAACATGATTGGCAGTTGGCAAAATCTAGTGAAGCAAGTGTTCTGATTGCTAAGGATTTAATTTGGATGCTTTTAATACTTAGCCATCTAACACTTCAAACATAATCCAGAATAAATGTATCATCTCCTTTCCTTTCACTTTAATACAACACCTACCTCACTTCAATATGGAAATATCTTTATTAAATATGATTCCCAGAGGAATAAGTTCCCTGGACAGTATAGCCATGAAGACAGTGCACACAAAAAAAACTCAAAATAAAACTCTGTATGATAATTTACTAATCTAAGGAAACAAAACCTTCCAATATATTAAGAAATAAATCCAGTTACAAACGCACTAACAGGTCTGTGAAGAGATTCTGGTTTAACTGAAAACGGCCAGCTATTTACAAGATACACAAGCAGGAAACGGCGCACCTCGCCCGGCCTGGCCCTCAGAAGCCGAAAGTGTTCTCTCCGCTGTAGGCCACATACAAGAATCCATCTTCGTCTTTTTCCTTCTCATAAAGCTGTCCCATAGTTAGGCTTGAGAGAGAAAAACAAAGCATTATTGAAAATTGGAGTCCAGGTGTCAGAGATAACAAACATGATTCTGAGTGATAGGTAGTAAAAGCAATGTTGTGGCCCATAATCCCATTTTAAGAAAGAGATGTGGAGGGCCCAGCATGGTAGCCTAGTGGTTAAAGTACTCGTCTTAAACATGCCAGGATAAGATATGGGTGCCAGTTCTAATCATGGCAGCCCCACTTCCCTTCCAGCTCCCTGCTTGTGGCCTGAGAAAGCAGTTGAGGACGGCCCAAAGCCTTGGGACCCGCGTGGGAGACCCAGAAAAGGCACCGAGCTCCTGGGTTCGGACTGGTGCAGCTCCAGCTGTTGTAGCTACTTGGGAAGTGAATCATCGGATGGAAGATCTTTCTCTGTCTCTCCTCTCTGTGTATCTGACTTTCCAATAAAAATAAATCAGAAAGAAAGGAAGAAAGAAAGGGATGCGAAGCCAGGTAGAAACTGGGACAATTTAGGAATCAACAGACCAACGTCTGTAACCTCCAGCCCAAAAGGAGGACCATTTCACTAAGTAAGCTAGCAATCTGCACCTATTTATTTATTTCCTTATTCTGAGAAATGCAGATAAGCTCCTACCAGTTCACTCACCAGATGCCTGCAGTGTCCTGGTAGCCTGGGCCATAGCCAAAGCCAGGGACAAAATCAAGGTCTCCCACAGCAGTGACAGACACCCAGGCCCTTGAGCCATCACCACTGCCTCCCAGGATCTGCACTGACAGAAAGCAGCAGTCGGGAACAGACCCTTGCACGAGTAAGGTAAACGCTGTTCCCGAATGCCTTTTATTTAAACAAAGATTTAGCTGGAAAGCAGTTAGTAGAAAGATCTCACTATGCTGTTTCACTCCCCAAATTCTCCCACAGCCCAGTCTGGACCAGACCACAACTGGGAAACAGGAACTCCCTCTGGATTTCATGCGGGAGGAGGAGTTCAAGCACTGACGCCATCACCTGCTGCTGGACTGGCAGTGGAGCAGGCATCCCCGGTGGCGGCTGTGGCATGCACCACAAAGCTCACCTCTCCTGAATGCCGTTCAAGTAGTAAGGACGTGGAAAACCAACACTAAGCACAGGGGGCCCAGGAGGCGCACCCAGAGGGAAGAACCCTGTAAACAACACATGCGCGCTCTTCTCCTTCAGGCCAATCTACCTGAAAAGTCATAATTTATACTTACCATGAAAGGTAGCAGTGGATTCATGTAGTCACTCAGAAATCTGTATAAGCATCACCAAAGAGAAGCTAATTCTCACATCATAGGAAAAAACTCCCATTTTATGTGAGCTCCAAAGAAGCCTTCAGAAATAGACATTCCTCAAGCTAAACATGTGGGTGGAAAGCTGGCTTTCCCTGAGCTGTGAGACTGTAGCGGAGGAGATCTAACCCAACTCTGCCATGAAACGGAGTTATCCTGGCTCCAGAGTGAGACTAGTAACACCGGAAGCCCAGGCAAGCCCTGGCACATGATTACTACTTGGGGGGAGTTGTGGTGAATGCAGTGTGACCATGAGTGGTGAGAGAAACTGGAACTAGCAGTGAGACGCACGGTGTGAGAGCTGACTCAAAGTATCTCAAGTCACGCTCTGAGACAGGTCACAGCTGATGGCCAAGGGCCAGGGGCAGGACAGAGAAGGGTCCAGAGTCTGGACTGGGGGAAGCGATGGTTGTCCCATGCAGCTTTCCTCCTGGTGGGTAGTGTGTCAGACCAACATGCCAGCAGGCTCACAGGTCAGTGAGCAAGGGTGAGCTTTTCCTTTCCTATTCTTCTTGCCTCACTTCTAAGTTTCACTTTGCATGGCTGTGTGGGAAGATGAACGATTAAAGAACAGTGTGGAGGTGTGAATATGAAATGGCCTGCCATCAGCAAAGTCTCTAAAAAACACAAAGCTCCGGGAGGATTTCTTAACCTGGAGTTTGTAAAGTAACCACTCTGTAGGACGGCACAGTCTAAGTTCCTGTTGACAGCTCAGTAGCTGCCAGCTACGTTCAGCACTTGAAATAAGGCTAATATGAACTGGGATGTTCTGTGTGAATTACACACAATATTTCACAATACCCATTTTTACTTTTTTACTGAGGCTTCTAGATGCTGAAGTGACATATGGAGAGAAACCCAGGTTCGAGAGAGCCCCAGATTCGAGAGAGCCCCTGCAGTGGCGATTTTACCACGGCTGCACATCACGATACCAGGGAACTTTAAAATCTCAGGCCTAAGCTCCACCCCGGACCAGTCAAACTGGCATCTCTGGAGGCACAACCCAGGCACCAGAATGCTTCACGTGTCTAAGTGGAATCCCTGTGCAGGCGGGTAGAGAAGAGAGATGCTTGATGCCCTTCTTTCCATGATTGAGAAGGAGGGGCACAAACCAGGAAGTGGCGAGATGCCAGCAACAGCAGAAACATTTGAACCTGTAGTTGAGGGGCTCAAGGTCTCTACCTGCTGCTTCAGAATGCCTCGACACCTCAGAAGGAGGCTGGTGGGAGAACAGCTACAGCCACGGCTACCCCACCACTCGCGCTCTCCCACCACGTATCCCCCAAGATGACCCTGGGGAAGAGTATCACCTCTGCCATGATCAAATGGTTTTAGAGGCAGTAGCAGACATTGTGTGCAATTCCAAGACAGACACTCCTTGGTGCTTATGTCTGCTCTGCTTCCATTGGACAGACTGTGTTTCTGCTCTTTTCCTGACAAGCTGGAGACCCAGAGCACTGACTCTGAGTCCCACTGCTAACACAGACATCTTTGAGGGGCGTCATAAACACTGGCGATCCTTCCCAGACTCGGTGTGGGGCCAAAGTGAAGAGCAGCCATTGGGGTGACACTAAAGCAGGCTGAGCCTCTGAACCCTGCTCTCTGACAGAACAGAGGACCTGAAGTCATGTGGCTTTCATTTCTACCTTTAGAGTCTACAGTCTCTTTAAGAAAAATTCAAGGGCCTGGCACAATAACCTAGTGGCTAACCCTCACTTTGCAGTCACTAGGATCCCATATGGGTGTCGGTTTGTATCCTGGCTGCTCCATTTCCCTTCCAGCTCCTTGCTTGTGGTCTGGGAAAGCAATTGAGGAAGGGCCAAAGCCTTGGAACCCTGCACTTGCATGGGAGACCCAGAAGCTGCTCCTGACTCCCAGCTTTAGATCAGCTGAGCTCTGGCTGTTGTGACCCTTGGGGAATGAACCAGCAGATGGAAGATCCTTCTCTATCTCTCCTTCTTTCTGTATATTTGCCTTTTTCTGATTAAAAAAAAAAAAAGAAAAGGAAAAACTAAAGTGCATCAACGCATCTAAGCACTACCATGGCAGCTAAAGCAGCTGATAATACAAAGCCTAATTATAATAGCAAACACTGATCATCAGGCACTGTTCTAAGTACACAATCTATTAACTTTATTCTTGCAACAATTTCATAAAGTGAGCACTGTCATAATTCATAGTTCTTGGATGAGACACAGATAAGTTAAATAATTTCCCCAAGGTCACAATGCTAGGAGGCTTTCTTACCACTGAATTGTGCTAGCAACACGCCCCCGCCAAGTCACAGCAAGGCATGGAGTCCTCGTGACTCCTGCCATTGGTCTTCCTTGCACCAGTGCTTCTAGCACACACCGATGTGTGTGCAGTCACCTGGCTGTCCAGCTCCCAATTGCAGTCACAGCTGCCCATCTCCACAGCCCTGGCCGTGTAGCAAGGTCTTAGGTCTTTCCTTCACAGCCCATCATCTACCTGCCAGACAGTGTGCCTAATGATGTAGGGAGTCCAAAACCATCCCTCCTTTTCTGTCTCGAAGCCCCTGTGGAAACTTAACTGACAGCAGTACTGTGTCCTTAAGTTAGGGATAGCCCTGGGGCAAGGAGCTTGGGAACTCATATTGCCAATGGGGTACACCTGCCACACTGAGGCCTCTCCGGCTGCCATGAGACAGTTCTTCTGTACCGTGCACTGGTTTGAGAATAGCTTTACTGTGTCAGACCGCCATAAAAGGGTCAGACTACCATGGCCTAGCGCCAAAAGCTGGGCCCACTCTAGTGTGCTTGTAGGCTTGGAGGGGGGCCAGTAAACATGACCCCAGTTAGCTGGCAGTCAGCTGGTGTATCAGCAAAGACACATGCCTCAAACCTCTGTGAAGAGGGGCTTCCCCCGGAGTAGCAAGGCCTGGGCTGCACGGTTCTGAGCAGACCACACAAACGCTGAGGGGACACGGGTCCTGAGGCAGTGAAGCGACTCTACAGGATCTGCAATGCTGAACTGCCCAGGCCTGCTCACTGGAGCAGTGCTGTGGCCAAGGCAGCCTCCCTGTGTTACCATGAGGTGGCTGGAGAAGATGCTCAAAAATAACCTCCAATTCCTGTACTCCTGCCCACTTCCTGCTGCTGACACCAAGGACTGCCACACACACTCATTTGAGGATGCTGCTGCTCTGGGTACCAGGGCACTGCCTCCTTCCAAACTCTGAGGCTGAAGAAAGAAATGAGACAAGCCAATGGCAGGTTAAAACTGTGAGGCCTATCTGAGATGAGACAGGACCGTGAAATACTTAGTGCAGTGAGCAGAAATTGCTTCCTAAAAGCCTTACTCTCCCCTCTCCATTTAAGATCACTCAGATCCAGGGAAAACCATTTCTCCAATGGAGAAACTAGCCAATAACAACACAAGTTCAAGTAGCATTCATCTACTGCTGCTGAGGGCAAGCATTAGTTTTCTGCTTCCTAAAGTCTATGAATTGTAGGAAGCTGACCTATATACAACCAAGTGGATTCCCCTATCCTTGCAGCATCTACTCTTGGCTTTGACTACAGACAAGTCAGTCATGGAGGCTGTGCGATCCTGCCTGAGGAGCACACCTGGAATCCACCTGCTGAGGAGCCTGTGTGTTCCCATAGTCCACTTTCCTCCAGCAGAGGAAGATGGGTTGGGTGAGGGAGAGGACGATGAACACTACTGCGGATCCTGGAAAAGTTACGCTGGCCCTGAAGTCTCAAGATGCTAAAATAATTGACCAATGGTAGTTTCTTTTTACCAGATTTTTCTGATATAAACTGATACTGAAGAGGTATTTACCCAGAAATTGTCAAAAGTGCTCATTTAAGCATTTTTACATAAAGGATGAATAGATCACAAGATATCATGTTCTTTGACTTAAGCCCTCTTCTTAAAAAAAGACTAAGTACTTGAAAGAGCAACAGAGCTCTTCCATTTGCTGGTTTACTCCCGAGTCTCAATAGCCAGGTCTGAGCCAGGGTAAAGCCAGGAGCAAGAACCCCACCCTGGCTTCCCTCATGACAGGCAAGGGTCCAAGCACTTGGACCATATTCTTCTGCCCTCTCAAGTACACTAGGAGGAAGCTGAATCAGAAGCAGAGTAGTCTTGACCTGGCAGTAGATTTGAACTCCAGTACGGGATGCCAGCATCACAAGCAGCAGCTTCACCTGCTGCACCCGAACAGCAAACCCTATTGAATACCTAACTCTGAAAATCAAGAAGCAGCTACATACCATAATTTTAAACATCACATGTTTCCCCACACCAAAATACAACATCCGGAAAATTTTTCTTAATAATTTTCTAAACAAGGAAGTACCTTGGCGCTTAAGTGCATGCTAAACAAAGGACATAGAGCCAGATCTGGGTTCCCTATAAAGCCACAACTGGGACATGTGGACACTGATGCTCTTTCTCAAGTTCTGTCTTACCAAGGTCTTTTTCCCCTTATGGTTCTCACTTGATTGTCCCACAGGAACCCAGGCAGAGAACTGTTATCCCATGCTGAATGGAAAAGGGCACTTGAAATTCCTCACAGTTACAACAAAACAAGAACTTGGGACCAAGAAGTGAAACTCACTGGGCCTGCCTCGGCCTCTATTTCTAAGACCAGTGTCTCACACAGACTACGCAGTCATCACAACAGCTCGCGTGGCACCTGCCCGCGTCCCCCTCAGGAGTGAAGTAACTGGTCCATGACTCCAGACTGGGGCATGGTGATCCTCCTGCAGACCAGTCAGTGAGAGGAGGGCAGGCTCCCACAGGTCTGGAGATACCTTGTCCCTACTCTCCACACAGGGGGAAGGTTAGGGAAGTGCCACACATCCTGAGGAGGCTGAGAAAAGCTGCTGAACTGCCTGGGGTGGAGGAGGAGCTGAGTCACCCTTGGAGGAGAGCTGTGGCACTTTGTGCCTGTGGGGTAATTACATTTGCATAATGCCTGATGATGTCACATGCCACTGCTGTTTACTAACAAATTTGCTTGTAAGAATAAAATCCTCAGATGGCTGCCTCAAGTGTGGGTGAGAAGTCATTAACTGAGGGGCTGGGCAGAAGGGCACAGGCTCCTAACACCCCTAATTCCTTCAGGGGCTGACATTCGGGTCTTGGTCAGTTTGTCCTAAAATCCTGGCAAGGGTCTTGGCCATTCTGTTTAGGGTAGATTCTCTTCCAATAGAAAAGGCAACTGGGGAGAGAAAATGGCAAGGAAACAGCCTCTGACCTGAGAAACACAGTTCATTTCCAATTCTATTTATAGTTCAGGGCTCAAGGGGGAGGAGCAGTTGGTAAGACCTCATAGCCATTGTAATTGCTAGATTACTGTGGAGCACACTGAGTAATCTTAATGCTTCATTTCTTTCAAGTATCAGAGGTTCAGATTTAAGGAAAATCAACTCAAGGTCATGATCTAGTTTCCTACTCCCCACCCCCACCCTGCTTCAAGGCTACCTCCAAGGAGGAAGCAGAAGTTGAGAGCAGCCAGACCGGGAGACCACAGGGAAGGTGTGCCTCCACCTAGGGTCACAGAAGGGAGTGACCTCAGGGCCCAAGGCCTCCGTGTGGAGGAGCACCTGCAGGCACACACCACCCAGAGGACTGTATAGGAAGGGCCCAAGGCGGCAAGCTCACCTGATGCCTGCCATTTCTTCCCTGCCTTGCTCTCCACCAAATACCAGGAAGTACAGGTAAGTGGAGATGGGGAAAGGAAATCCCAGCAAAACCTACCTTTCCACCTTAAAGAGATAAAAGGTCTGGAATTTGGCTTAAGCCTCTTCAGGGTATTTCACAGATTTTCAAAAGGACACTGGGTCAGCTCCAAGGGCTTCCCCTTTTACAAAGATTACTTCCATAGGCATCATCTGAAACCTAGCTTGGGTCAGTAAGGTAAGATGTGGCCAGGAATTCACATGCAGCAAAATGGAGGGGGCCAGAATCCCGGCCCAGGGCCTAGAAGTGCCCGTCGGTGACAGGAAGAGTGACCAGTTTAGACTGAGCCAGTCCTTGTGTCTCATTCCAGGGGGACTAAGGCTGGGCTGTCGGTTATACCAAAGAGGGGAACTCCAACACCTGGAGTTAGACCTGAATTCCCAGGATTGGTTCCAGGCAGCATGCAGTGTGATGGGCCGAGCCCGAGGCAGTACAGAGAAAGGTGTGGAGAGACTGAACAGCAGCCAATTCATCAGACTTAAAGATCAGGCACCACAGCCCCACAGCAGCAGAGGGGCTGACTTCACGCCACCGGAGAAGCCTCAGCGGTCACCTTAGTTCTCCCTTGCAGCTTAGGCGGACGTGAGGCCTCAGCTACTTCCCAGAGTGGTGGGGAGACTCGGGTAGGCCTCTTCCTACTTTCTCCCCGTCTAGGCTTTAACCTGCCTTCTTAAACCACTGTGCCATCCTGTTCATTAAAGCCCTGTCTTTGTCCTCGGAACTCATGTGTCGGGGACCACAGAACCCAGCTGCCAATCAGAGCCAGGGGTTGGATCTTCAGGCCTCCCAAGTACTGACTGTCTTAAACCACCAAGCAGATAACTATCGGGGAGGGCCCATGCAGTAAACACCTCTCACCTGGACTGTGGGACTGTCTTATCCACAAACAGGAAGATGGCCTTCTCAGAAGGAAGCTGGATCCTTTTCCTGATGATCCACATGAACTGAGCCACAGTGATGTCAGAGGGAACCAAGTACTTCCGCTTGTCAATGTCGACGATCTGAGAGCCTGAGACTTTTTCCACAATCACCTGGGAAAGCAAAGAGATGTCCCAGACTGGATTTCCTACAGGGGGAATGGTGGGCAGGAAAGTGCAGAGCCTGACATGAGATGCCCTGGCTCCAGAAGCTATGCAGACATCCTTAGCAACTGACGTGTGTTAGAATCAGTACCAGTATGTTAGAATCAGACTCCTCTGTGGTCATTTAAGTCTGGGGTCCTGACCAGCATGCCTACAAGAAACAGCTCTTTCCACATTCTACCTGGGAGGATCTGACAGCAGTTGGAGCTTCATCTGCAGCTCCTTCCTTCAGGACCCCAGACCGGACCCACCCTCACACTACAGATGAATTCCGATCCCACGGAACACCGTGTGGCCTACCAGCCAGGCCTGGCCATCCCCGGCAGCCAGGCCCTGGCTGCTCCTCCAGCCTGTTGCTTCCCTCAGAACAGCTTTCGGCTCCTTCCCTCCAGCTGCCTCCCCAGAGGGACCGCTCGTAAGCAGAGAGCGTCCATACCAGGGCGCTGATGGCCTTCACAGATCAATACCGTTTACGGAAATGCTCTCCTCAGACCCGAGCTCATCCCCAAGTAATGGGAGGCGTGGGAGAGAGAGGGGGATTTTCGTAGCTCTGCAGGATGACGTGGTCTGGGAGAGTAAAGGGAACTGGGAGTCCGGGACAGATGGAGAGGCCATGCAAAGAGATGAAATTCAAGTGCCACTTCCAAGCCCAGAGTGCCCGTCTCGCTCCAGCCCCAACCCCCGATCCCCGAAGTGGCGGTGACCTGTTGTTCCTTACATAATTGGCCAGGGAGCCCTGGGGCTGCAGACGGCTCACTGGCCTAGATCAGCTCGGGAGATTTAGCACCAGCCCAGCCCCCGGCGGCCACTGCTACCAGGGCTGGAGCCTGTACAATGGCCCGGGGTCTGTGTCCCGGTTCTGCCACGGCCAAAGGGTGACAGCTGACCGAGGGGGCGGGGAGTCCCCAACACTCACCGGAACCCGATCGGGATATTTCGCTCGAATCTTCGCGGATTCCACGCATCTGTGTTCTGGGAGGGAAACACACCGGGATGACTGCGGCGCCTGCCCGCCGGGCCGGTTCCGGGCCCCAGGCCCTCCCCGGTCCTCCGGCCCCGGGCGACCTGCGCAAGCCCGGGCCCTCGTCCGAGCGTCTCCGCCACCGCGGTTCTCTGACCCCATTCTCCCGGAGAAGGGGCCGCCCCAGGCCGGGGGACGCCTGTCCGGGCGGCCCGAGCCCGGAAGACCCGAGCCCGGGAGACCCGAGCCCGGAGCGCAGCACCTGCCCCGCCCGACCCGGCCCAGGGCGGCCCGAGCCGGGGGGAGGGGGCCCGCCCGCCGCCCGCCGCCCCGCGACTCGCGCAGCGGCCCGAGTGCTTACCCAGAGAGTGGTCCTCCTTGAACATCCACTTCATGGCGGCGGGGAGTGGATGGAGCCGGCTCTCGGAGCCGCGGAGATAACCTAAACCGACCACAACAACAACGACCGCGACACTACACGACAGGCGGGACTTCCGGCTGCCGGAGCCTAGCAACCAGCGGGGGGCGGGGCTTCCGGCACCGCCCGCAGAGTCGGCGCCCCTGGGGGCGGGGCCGCACGAAAGGGGCGGGGCCGAGCAGCGTCGCCGCGGGCGTCTGCGACGTAGACGAGAAAGGTGTCTTGTAGGGTGGGGAGTTAGGGCTCCGCGGGGAAGGGAGGACAGGGTTTTTGTGTGGAGGGCTTTCGTGACAGAAAGGATGTGTCTGATAGTACGACGGCTTTGTGGATGGCAGTTTGGAGGCGTGGCTGACAGGACAGGTCTCTAATGGTTTTTCTTGGTGCAAATCTGACCAGGACGGTGATAACAGTAGGCGTATTTAGGAATGTGAACAATAGAGGGGTGATCTCTAGTGATCGGCGACGGCAAAGAGACCTTTTAGGGCGCTGACAGTTTGGGGGATTTTGTTTGTAGGGGTGACAGGTTTGCGGGCCCGACACTGGGGAGTGTTAGCGGTTTGAGGGTTGTGGCTTAGAGACGGGTACGGCTGCCATTGAGGAGGTCCGGTATTGGGGTAGCCAGTCACCTGAAACCCAGAAATTATATTTCAACAAATCCTTCTCCCTCCTTTATTCATAAAGAAATATCTGTCAGATGTCATAGATACACATTGATGTCTCATATTGATCCCTTAACCTTGGCTGACAGAGATAGAAAGGAGGCGACTGCCAGGCTGCAGTTCCTCCGGAGCGCCCCGAGGCGGGGGGAGGGGCCGCAGCTGCGGGCCGTGTGTGTGACTTGTCACCTTCCTGCACGTAGCCTCGAGGTTCTCCACTCAGTGATGCAATGCCTCCCCAGCAGGGTCATCCGAGCAGTGTGTTCTGCCCGAGTCACCTTCTGTTTATCAGCCGGTGAACACGTAGCCAGAACATTCGTATAATTGGGCACATGATTCCTTCCACGTGCCTGTGATTCTGACGCTTTCTGTGCCTGAGTATTGTCATCCACCACTTCCTACACTCAGGATTCCTGAGGGATGCCACACAATCTGGTATCATTCTCAAAGCATTCTTGTTATTTTTTTTTTGGACACGCCTCTTGTTATGTTAAGATTGTGTCTGTATAGCCAGAAGAGGTTTTGTTGGTTTATTTTGTTGTTGTTGTTTATTTGTGGGGTTTTTTTAGATTTATTTATTTTTATTACAAAGCCAGATATACAGAGAGGAAGAGAGACAGAGAGGAAGATCTTCTGTCCAATGATTCACTCCCCAAGTGAGCAAAATGGCCGATGCTATGCCCATCCCAAGCCAGGAGCCAGGAACTTCTTCTGGGTATCCCACACAGGTGCAGGGTCCAAAGATCTTGGGCTGTCCTCAACTGCTTTCCCAGGCCACAGGCAGGGAGCTGGATGGGAAGTGGAGCTGCCAGGATTAGAACCGGCACCGATATGTGATCCGGGCGTGTTCAAGGTGAGGACTTTAGCCGCTAGGCCACGCTGCCAGGCCCTGTTCATTTGTTTTTAATGAAGCAGAAAAACCCTTTGAGGTTCATACTCAGAAGCTGGTGTTGTGGCACGTAAGGACACTGTCCAGGGTACAAGGGAGAAAACAGTGAACTGAGCGAATGGTATCCCAGCTCTCATGCACAATCTGTTCCCATGAAACAAGATACAAAGCAAATGTCAAGTGTTGTTAGGTGCTGGCTAGGAGAATTAAATGGAGTGGTGACAAGAGAGTGAGGGTGTGATGGAGTGTTAATTAAATCAGCAGTAAGGAAAATACTGGAAGGTGAAACCACAGACAACAGAATAAAACTGTTGAACTTTGAAATTCTTGCAAAGAACTTTGGACTTTACAATGAGATGAAATGTCAGTGGAGGATTTCTTTCTTTAAGATTTATTTATTTTTAGTGGAAAGGCAGATATACAGATAGGAGGAGAGACAGAGAGGGAGATCGTCCATCTGATGGCTCACTCCTCAAGTGGCTGCAACAACTAGAGCTGTGCCAATCCGAAGCCAGGAGCCAGGAACTTCTTCCAGGTCTCCCACATGGGTGCAGGGTCCCAAGGCTTTGGGCCGTCCTCAACTGCTTTCCCAGGCCACAAGCAGGGAGCTGGATGGGAAGTGGAGCCGCCAGAATTAGAACCAGTGCCCATATGGGATTCCAGTGCATTCAAGGTGAGGACTTTAGCCACTACGCTATCATGCTGGGCCCAGTGGAGGGTTTTAAGCGGAAGCATAATACAGTCTCCCTTTTCAAGTGACCAGGCTAGCTGCTGTTTCAACAGTGGACTAAAGAAGCGTGGAGGTGGAAGGTAATGCTGCAAAGGCTGTGGGGATGGTCCAGGTGAGAGGTCATGTTGGATCAGAGCAAGATGGTATCTGGCGATACATTGGGAAGTACTTGCATTATGGATGAATCTGAAGGAAAAGCTGACCAATTTTCCAATAGTTTGTGACATGTGAGGGACAAGTTAAAGTCAAGATTTTTCAAAGGATGGAACTGCCATCCACTGGAACAGAGTGGAGCCAGCACAGAGGATTAGAATCAAGAATTTTTATTTTAAAAATGATTTATTTGAAAGAGCTATATAGAGAGGTCCTCCATCTGCTGGTTCACTCTCTAGATGGCCACAATACCTGGAGCTGGGCCAGGTTGAAGTCAGAAGCCAGAAGCTTCTTCCAGATCTCCCACGTGGCTGGAAGGGGCCCATGTACAAGGGCCATCTTCTGCTGCTTTTCCCAGGCTCATAGCAGAGACTGGACTGTAAATGCAGCAGCCAGGAATCTAACTGGCACCCATTCAAAAAGCCTACATTGCAGGCAGCAGCTTTGCTTGCAACACACCACACTGGCCCTGACAGCTTGGTTTTAAACGTATTAAAGATGATAAACCCAAGAAATCTATCCAAGGGTAGATGAAGAACAAATGATGGCCCTGTGCATCTGAAACTCAGGAAAGAAATATTTATAGCCATTGAACTGGATGAAATTTGCTAAACATAAGCAAATAAAATTGGCTATTTTGCAAGTACAAAATTAAGTCCTGAGAAAAGAAATGCTGGATGCACATCTTCTAGACAGTGTATCAGCAGAGGAGTTGGGAATTGGATTCCATGACTCGGTTTCCTTTTCCCAAGCTAAATGTGTGTCACCATCCAGGAGTGTGTACATCAGCTTAGTACAGTTTTCAGGGGCAAGGTCATGGCTCCTCAGCTCATGGGCATGTCACCTGTTGATCCCAATGGTGACACACATTGTCTTTCAATCCTTACCTACTGTCTTGGTGTGTTTTTCTGATACGACACCTTGAACGGCACTTCTGATGCCCCTCAGTGAAAAGTCGCCCTCTAGGCTCATTCAGCTCATCACAGTTCTAAAGATGCTAGACGCCTCAGTGCAAGGTAAGTTAGGTAGGTGAGTCACGAGCAGAATCAGATCATGAATGGATGCAATTCCACACTCACAGACCCATCTAACACACAGGGTGAGTGTTTACAGTGTTGGAAAGACGTGCAAGCAAGGACACCTGAAGGGTAGCTGGGGCCGTGGAGCAGGGCAACCACAGAGCCACAGCAGGCTTGTGGAGAAAGACTTCACAGAGATTTTTCCATGTGAGGCTACAGAGGAAAAAGTGTGTTTTGCAAAGCACAACCCTTCCAGATCAAAACAAAGGCTTCGGTCAGAAGAGGAATGCAAAGTAATATTGATAAGTGCAAGGTGAAAGAAATGCTAGAAAGCCTGGAAGCAAAATGTTCATGGCTTCTGACTCCAGGAATCCACAATAGGAGCTCCTATAAGGGAGAGGACTGTGCTTAACATGTGTGGCAGGTAAACTGTGGGAAACATGAAGAATATTGTGGAGATGGAAACCAAGTCATCAGTATTCAGTCTTGAGTGACAGTGACATGATGTACAAAAAATATGGCCTTTTAAAAAATGTTATAGTTGGGCCCAGCACGGTGGCCTTGCAGCTGAAGTCCTCACCTTGAACGCACTGGGATCCCATATGGGCGCCAGTTCTAATCCCGGCAGCACCACTTCCCATCCAACTCCCTGCCTGTGGCCTGGGAAAGCAGTTGAGGACAGCCCAAGGTCTTCGGACCCTGCACCTATGTGGGATACCTGGAGAAAGTTTCTGGCTCCTGGCTTCAGATCGGCGCAGCACCAGCTGTTGTGGTCACTTCAGGAGTGAATCATTGGATGGAAGATCTTCTCTGTCTCTCATCTTCTCTGTATATCTAACTTTGCAATAAAAATAAATCATTTTTAAAAATATTATAACCTGTCTTAAAGAATTTAACTAAATTACCAGTGGCTAACTTCTTTAAATCATGGAGGCCCAGGGCATCTATTTTTGGTAAAGCTCATGACACCTCCAGAGGAGAAACAAGTATTTCACACCTCTAAATCCTGAACAGACATCTTTCCTCTGGAACTCTGCAAGCAAATACCTCCTTCCTCACTGAAGGACAACCCTCAGAAGTCTTCATTACATCCCCCGACTCCAGAAGACCTTCATCTAGTAGTCACTCAGCTAGGTGAAAGTTGTCTACCTAAAGCACAGACCCGTCAGAATCATGCATCGATTCAGCTCCGCAGGTTGCCATATTTAAGAACTGCGTTACCCAGTCAGCACCTAGGCATAGCAGGCTAATCCTCCGTCGGTGGCACCAGCATCCTTTAGGAGTGCCAGTTCGAGTCTCAGTTGCTCCTCTTCCCACGCAGCTCCCTGCTTATAGCCGTGGAAAGCAGTAGAGGACAGCCCAAAGCTTTGAGACACTGAACCCGTGTGGGAGATTTAGAGAAAACTCTAGCCTCCTGGTTTCCAATTTATGGCCTTTGTGGCCATTTGGGGAGTGAACTAGTGGATGGAAGAGCTCTCCGTTCCCCACCCCCTTAATTATCTCAAGTAAAATAACTCTTTTTTAAAAAGACAACACAATACTAACCTCCCACATGGAAGTGCCAACTCCCAGCTGCTTTGCTTCCAATCCAGTCCTGCTAATAAATCCTAGGAGGTAACAGATGATGACCCATATCTGCAGGCCCCTGCCACCCACGAGGGAAACCCAGAGTTCCTGGCTCCTGGGGCCACTGGGGAAATGAACCACAGTGGTTGGAAGATTTCTGTCATTCTGTCTTCCAAATAAATCTTCATTTTAAAACTATCATGTATAGGGAGAACAGTATTCTCCTAAAACCAGTAGCCAAACTTGTACCCAATGTAACGTAATACAGTATAGTCAGGCATATGTAGTAATCAGCTTCTCTCAACAAGAGTCAGGGATTTATGTCCTGGATTCTGCCCTGTTGTGGAAACGACAGAAAATTCGGAGGCAGTGAACCCTGGCGTGGGTCTTAGTTCAGGACCAGGTGGAGGACCGAGGCCACTCGTAGGTGGCCAGTGGGACGTCAGCACGAGCTATTTGGTGTGCTAACAAATGACGGAGGAGATGCGACTTACTCCAAGTCAACGTTTCCGTTCTCAGCCCAGTTTACGCGACGAGCGCGCCCCGCGTTAGCTCCGCCCCTCCCAGAGCCTCGGCGTCCTTGCCATTGGTTCTCTTCCCGGCGCCGCCGGTTGCCGTGGAGACCGCGGCGATGGCAGCCAGGAGCAGCCAAACTTGGTCGCCTCCTCTGGGTTCGCTCCAGGGTGTCGGGTGTTGATGGCGCTCTACCACCTATTCTCGCACCCGGTCGAGCGCGGCTACCGCGCGGGGCTCTGCTCCAAGGCCGCACTCTTCCTGCTGCTGACCGCCGCGCTCACCTACATTCCGCCGCTGCTGGTCGCCTTCCGGAGCCACGGTGAGCCTGGCCTGCTGGAGCGTGCGACCCGAGCCTGCACACCCCCGCCTTCCGTATAACTCCTATCTCATTCCTCGCAGGGTTTTGGCTGAAGCGGAGCAGCTACGAGGAGCAGCCGACGGTGCGCTTCCAGCACCAGGTTCTACTCGTGGCCCTGCTGGGACCCGAGCGCGATGGGTTCCTCGCGTGGAGTACGTTTCCCGCCTTCAACCGGCTGCAGGGGGATCACTTGCGCGTCCCGCTGGTCTCGGTGCGTGGTTCCCTGGCCCTGGTTTAGCGGTCCTGGGCGCGAGGCGCTCACGCAAGTCCTTTCACAGGCCCTTTGGCCTGCGCGCACGCGATAGAGTTCCTAAAGAGTGGACCTGTGATTTGGTTTGGCTTGTCCCAGATAACTATGATACCGGCGAGCTAGCCACGCGATGTGCTGATCCAGGATGAGCCCCCTGCTTCCTCCCGTGTCACCTTGTCGAAGTCCTCTTAGGAGCTTTGCAGGCTGAGAGTCCATAATCCCACCATGTCGCTGGTAGCAGTGGAAAAGGCAGACATTCTGGCAGCATTATTAACCTGTGGACTCCCCCACACCTGGGGTCGCCCAGCAGGTGCCCTGGCAGAGTTTGCCTCCTCCACGCTGGTCTCAGATGCTACTCCATCTTGCTACTATCCTGGGTGAAGTTAACACTTTCTCTTTCTTTCTCTCTCTCTCAATGTCTCTCGCTCGCTCGCTCTTTCTCTCCCCTTCCCTCCCTTCCAAATTTATTTATTTATTTATTATTGCAAAGTCAGAAATACAGAGAGAGCAGACAGAAAGATCCTCCATCCAATGATTCACTCCCCAAGTGGTCACAATGGCTGGTGCTGTGCCAATCTGGAGCCAGGAGCCAGGAACTTCCTCCCACATGGGTGCAGGGACTCAAGGCTTTAGGCTGTCCTGCACTGCTTTGCTAGGCCACAAGCAGGGAGCTAGATGGGAAGCGAGGCTGCTGGGATTAGAACCGGTGCCCATGTGGGATCCTGGTGCATGCAAGGCGAGGACTTTAGCCATGAGGCCACCACACTGGGCCCTGGTTAAAAAAATTTTAAGATTTACTTATGTTTATTGGAAAGTCAGATTTACACAGAGGAGAAGAGACAGAGAGGAAGATCTTCCATCTGTGGGTTCACTCTCCAAGTGGCTGCAATGGCCAGTACTTAGCCAATTCAAAGCCAGGAGTCAGTAGCTTCTTCCGGGTGTCCCGCACAGGTGCAAGGTCCCAAGGCCTTGGGCCATCCTTCACTGCTTTCCCAGGTCAAAAACAGGGAGCTGAATGGGAATTGGGGCTGCCAGGACTAGCACCGGCGCCCACATGAGATCCTGGTGCATACAAGGTGAGGACTTTAGGTGCTAGGCCATGCCAAGCCCTAACCCAGGTTTTTTTTCTTCACATATTTATATTCCTCTATACCATATTCTTCTGGTTGTGTGGGTCTCTGAAGCCTAGAGATAATCATGAAAACAAGGCTGCAGTTTTAGGTTTCACTCATTCATTCTTCTTACTAGCTCCTTCAACATAACTGGTTGGCTGTCTTGGTCAGTTTCCATTCGTCCTCTTTCCTCTGTGACCCAGAGCCAGCAACTCCCTTCAGAACGCTCCCTACACCTGATGTTTTACCAGTTTTAAAATGAAGCAAAAACTGACTTAATTTTTATGATGCCTACACCATCAAGTTTCTTTAATACTGGATAATTTGTACACTTTTAGTAAAACAAAACCCAAGCCTCTTTTCCGTAGGGTTTTTTGTTTTTGTTTTTGTTTTTGTCCCTTCATCCTAGGTGATTGTCTGGAAGTCCTATGTGATCTCATTACACATCATCTTTCTCAGTTAATGATTTGTTTCCTTGCTGGTTTAGCCCTTGCCTAGAGAATGGTCTGGAATCGTGAGATGCAGAAAAAAAAAGAGGCAACCCATAACAGTAGCAGGAAAGACATCAACAGTAACCTAAAAGATATTAGGCCATAGTTATCAGAATTACAAGATAGGGTACCTTTTTTTTTTTTACTGTGTCAGGGTCTTGGGATTTGTGCTGGTACCCAGGCGGCATTGAAATGCAAGAGAGTCAGCATCCACCAGGGGGTGCTACACAGTTTTGCATTGTTTTTTTGTTTTGTTTTTGAGAGTTAGAGAGAAGAGAGGGAGAGAGAGAGGTTTACCCACCATTCACTGGTTCACTCCCCAAATGGCCACAAAGTCTGAAGCCTAGCCTTCTGAAGCCAGGAGCCAGGAGCTTTCCTGCAGGTGGTACAGAGTCATCCTCCAGTACTTTCTCAGGCACATTAGCAGGGAGCTGGATGGGTAGTGGAACAGCCTGGACTTGAACAAGTGCCCATATGGGATGTTAGCACTGCAAGCAGAAGCTTAAAGAGCTATGCCATGGCACCAACTAGCCTTATTAATAACTGTTTTAAAAGGAAAAGTTTAGAAAGTGCCTGTATAAGACAAAAACAAATTTAATAAAACTTATAAACAGAGAAGTATATAAGGTTGAGCTGTCATTGTGGTACAGTCAGCTAAATGAATGTTTGTGATGTCGACATCCCATATGGGCTCCTGGCTGCTCTACTTCCTGTTCAGCTCCCTACTAATGCACCTGGGAGAGCAGTAGAAGATGGCACAAGTTCTTGGGCCCCTTTGGCTCTTGTTGAAGACCAAACTAGCGTTCCAGGTTCCTGGCTTCTGCAAAGAAGTGGAAACAACGTGATGGATTGTTGCCTCTGTATGAGTGGGCAAAAGCATGAGTGGCTAACCAAAACATCTTTCTGAACCATGGGGAGGGGCAATCAGCCAGTAAAAAGGAGTGGAGCTGCGATCGATGCTGCCACGTGGAAGAACCTTGAAAACATGCCAAGTGAGTGCAGTTGCAGAGCAGCCCCTGCTGGGTGGCTCCACCTCTGTGAGTTGCTCAGTTTTGGAGAAGCTGTGGAAGCAAAGATGAGCGGTCAGAGGCTTGGGAAGGGCAGTAGGGAGACATGGAGAATGGTGACTAACGAATATAGGTCTCTTCTGGATGATGTATGTGTTCTGAAATTGGACTTAGCAGTGATGGTCACATAATCTTGAATAAACTAAAACTGCCTGAACTACATTTATTGAAAGCATAGAATTTGGAGGGAGCATTTAACTTAGCAGTTAAAAATGCCTGCATCGCATGTCAGCGTTCAGTTGCCAGCTCTGGCTCCTGGTTTTTAGCAGTGTAGACCCTGGGAGGCAGCAGGCAGTGGGTCAGATGCTTGGAGCCCTACCGTCCCTGCAGGAGACCTGGTACAGCTGCCCAGCTCCGAACTCTGAGCCTCTTCCAGGCCTACCTGTGTGTGGGCACTGGGAGATTGACCCAGTGAATAGAATCTATCTCAAATGAAAGAAAACAAAAAAAACATGTTAGGTGAGTCATATCAGAAAAGCAAGTAGGTGATACCTGGTAATACACTTACAGGCTATAGTAGTAAAAATCACTGCTGTTTTACTATGCCTCGGGCATATGAGTAAGCATTTTTTAGAACTTGGCTGGTAATAACTTAGAAAGAATTGGTGATTAATTTTAACAACTTGATATTCCTGTTTGTACAGAACAAAGAACAAACTTAAAGTGCAATAATTTGTCCCTAGTTTCTTATTAACCCTTACCCACCAAGATGCTTTGATTTTCTGACTTTGAACACAAAGCCGGACTTACTTCTCTCTGTCTAGGAAACTGTCTGTCCAGGAAGCTACAAAAGCCCCGTTTTTGGGTCATGATTTGTGGAGAGGTGACTTGGTGGCTGCTAATTTGGAACATGGCCTTGGAGGTCACCAGCAGTCTGGGTTCTGCCTTGGTCAGCTCACCTTGGATCATATCTGTGAAGTCCCAATTTCTTTCTTTTTTTTTTAGGATTTATTTATTTTTATTACAAAACCAGATATACAGAGAGGAGAAGAGACAGAGAGGAAGATCTTCCGTCAGATGATTCTCTCCCCAAATGACTGCAATGGCCAGTGCTATACTGATCCAAAGCCAGGAGGCAGGAACTTCTCCCAGGTCTCCTACACAGGTGCAGGATCCCAAAGCTTTGGACCATCCTCAACTGCTTTCCCAGGCCACAAGCAGGGAGCTGGATGGGAAGCAGAGCTACCAGGATTAGAACCAGAACCCACATGGCGTGTCCAGGGTGAGGACTTTAGCTGCTAGGCTGCTTTATCTGCTCCAGGTCCCCTATTTCTTGTTTTTTTTTTAAGATTTATTTATTTTTATTGGACAGTCAGATATACAGAGAGGAGAGACAGAGAAAGATCTTCTGTCCGATGATTCACTCCCCAAGTGAGCACAACAGCCGGAGCTGAGCCAATCCGAAGCTGGGAGCCAGGAGCCAGGAGTTCTTCCAGGTGTCCCATGCGGGTGCAGGGTCCCAAGGCTTTGAGTCATCCTCAACTGCTTTCCCAGGCCACAAGCAGGGAGCGGGATGGGAAGCAAGGCCACCGGGATTAGAACTGGCACCCATATGGGATCCTTGTGCATTCAAGGCGAGGACTTTAGCCAGTTCACTTCCTTGAATACCTGCAGCAGCCACGGCTGGGCCAGACTGAAGCCAAAAGCCAGAGTTCCAGATCTCACATGTGGGTGGCAGGGGTCCAAGCCCTTGAGCCATCAGCTACTGTCTCCCAGGATGCCTTTAGCGGGGAGCTGGGTCACAAGTGGAGCACCTCGGGCTCAAACCGTGGCATCCCATCCATTATGGGATATAGATACCCCAAGCAGCAGCTTAAACCACTGTAGCACCAACACTACTCCAGTCCCGACTTCTGTAAGTGCAGTTATTGGGGCCAGCATGGCGGCCATATGAGTGCCGGTTTGAGTCCCATCTGTTCCACTTTAGATCCAGTTCCCTGCCTCTGAACTGAAAGACAGTGTAGGATAGTCCAAAGCCTTGGGCCCCTGGACTCACTCGGAGACCCAGAGGAAGCTTCTGATTCTCAGTTTTGAACCAACTCAGTTATGGCCATTGCAACCATTTGCGGCGTGACCCAACAGATGGATGATCTGTCTCTCTGACTCTCCCCTCACCGCCATAACTTTTTCAAATAAAATAAATACATATATATGCATGTATATATGAAAGGCAGAGAGACCTTCCATCTTCTGAGTCACTCCCCCAGTGCCAACAATCACAAGAGTTGGGCCAGGCTAAAGCTCCACTCCCATCCAGTTCCCTGCTTGTGGCCTGGGAAAGCAGTCAAGGACAGCCCAAAGCCTTGGGACCCTGCACCTGTGTGGGAGACCTGGAGGAAGTTCCTGCCTCCTGGCTTCGGATCGGCACAGCACTGACTTTTGCAGTTATTTGGGGAGTGAATCATCGGACGGGAGATCTTCCTCTGTCTCTCCTCCTCTCTGTATATCTGACTTTCCAATAAAAATAAACAACTCTTTAAAAGAAGAAGAATTAAGGCACTTGTCTTGCCTGCAGGTTCCCCTTCGGTGTGCTTCTTTCGGTCAACAGCTGATAGCAATTCTTTATAGAAGTCCTAGTGTTAGCATCCTAAGGTTTATTTTGTTTGTTTTTTCTTTTTAATTTTTATATTAGCATCCTAAGGTTTCTCCTCCAAGCCTCTGTAGGATCTAGTACAGCCAGGCTCTTGCCTTTCTTCTCTTGCTCTAGCCTGGCAGCTGCACTTTGCATTTGCTAACTCTGCCTGTCAGTTACTAATTAACTAACTCTGACAGTTAAGTTACTAATTATCTCCCCCTCCACTCCACATATCAACAAGCCCTATGTCACAGCACCCTCTCTCAAGGCCCACCTTAACCACACACCAGGCACCTGTCCTTTACTGCCGATTAGAGTAACTTTTCCTGGCTGGCAGAAGGGGGCTGAAGTGTACTCTTTGAGTTGGCACATTGGCACTGTTTCAGACAATGTCCGTGAAACAGCAGTCTCTGAAATCAGGATTCTTGTAAGCTGTTATAGAAAGAGCACACTTAAACTCCTAGTCCTACTTCTGTCTGGGCTCACTACCCTGCTGAGGCCTGTCTAACCAGCACAGGTGGTAGTAGTGCCTACAGCTGCATTGGTCACACAGAGGCTCATGGGTGATGGTCAGTGGGCCTAAAAATTATCCCCAGTCGTACAAGTTCCTCCTAAAACTAAGGTGCCAGAGTGATGTGTAGATCCTCTTAGCAGAACACACCCGTTGACTTTTAGATTGTGACCTAGAATCTGTGCCTCTTGGAGTACCCGCCTTTATGGATGTGGCACACGTGCAGCTGCCTTTAAAGTGGAATTAAATCATTGGTTTCACCAGAGGTCCAGGTGAGGCCAGAAGCATGAAGCTCCCCTTTGCCAGCCCCTGGGGACTAGCATCTGGCTTGGTGAGGCGTCACATCACTGCGCCATTTCTGCTTTCTGGGTCCACTCCTGGTCCCCTCCGATTTCCCTGCTGGCTCACTGCGCAGTCACCCTGGCCTCGGGTGCACTCCCATCCAAGGAGCACCCAGGCACCCCTCCCCCAGAGGCTCCCATCACCCCACTTCAGTCAGGCTGTCCTGAATGCTGCGTGTACACTTTTCTGTTCAATTCTACCCTCGTGATTCTCTAACATTAGCCCGCTCCATTTTTCTTTATGGTCCATGTCACTACCTGAGACTGTTAGGTGTTTGTTTACTGATTTCTCTCACATTTTCCAGGCTGGGATTGTAGGGTCCATTGAGATGGAGACTAGCTACCTTGTTTACTGTTACATTCCCAGTGCCTCAAACAGTGCCTGGTGTGTTGGAGTCCCCAGAAAGCGCTTGGACTTACAGTGGACTTGTGCAAATAGTTATATAGAGTTACACTGAGGACAATGCCTTTTTGAAATAAGAAAAATATACTTTCCAGTATGTTCCTCCTTATTTTCTTCAAGCCTAGAGGTATTAATCCAGAAAAGGAGGGTCAGGTTTGAAATTAAAAAAAAATCTCCAATATGTCTTTATTTCATCGTGCCTCTTGATAACCTTGCAGCTTCCCCTGCCTTGGTTTTCTCATTTCTCCAGTGGGGATAGTGCTTGCTTGGCTTTCCTTAGACTTGCCATTTATTGCCACTTATCTATGAACCAGGTTTCTCTTTGACACACTCTGTTGTGGAGTCTAGGTTTCTTGCACATTTTTCTCCTGCCTGCTCTCCTCTCCTGCTTTCCTGTCTTCTAGTCCAACCCTGTAGCTCCAAAAGCACGGCTCTGTTATGGAGAGTTAACCCCACGTTGCCTTCCGAGGCTTCCCAGATGCCAGCTGATGGAGAGTCCTAGGCAGATACTGCGGCCCCTTGTCCATTCTGCTCAGCATCCCTGGTACACAGTTGCTTGGGCAATGTGGTGATCCACACAGTGGAGCTGCTCCCTTACACCTGCCAGGAATGGGAGCTCACAGGGCCTGGGCTCGGGACAGTATTAGCCAGCAGGGAAGTTAAGTCTGACAGGTTCTGAAACCTGGTCATCTCCAAGGACCTTGTTAGCCTGAAGAACAAAACCTCCTTCCCCTCTGGATGGCAGTGCTGGAAAGTGCAGGGAGTTGGGTACACAGGGGCTAAGAGGGGAGGGCGGGATGTCCTGGTGGACTCCTCCTGGAGACCCATGGGGAGCAAGGACTGGTCATGGGCACCTAATGTAGAGCTGAACCTAGGAGTGTCAGCTGTGATCACCACGCACTGTTGGGGGGTCACTATCCGGCGAGTCCAGGAGGTGTGACTGGAGAGCGATTTCCACCAACTGAGCCCGAATGTGTCTTTTTGCCTCCTTAGATCCCTGTTTCTTTCCTGATGTCCAGAATTCATAAAATGTCCAGGGGTACTCATGTCTTGCTGATTTTATAGGTTTTTTCTCATTATATTGATGGCCACTGCAGAATGCTCCCAGCTGGCAAGTCTAACATGAATGGCAGGCTGCTTGTTTGGGAAATATAACCCAATTAGGAGTAGTGGTGTTTGTAGTCTTTTTGTTTTTGCCTTTTTTTTTTTTTCTGTGCTCTAGGAGGTTGACTTCTAGGGGTCTTTCCCGTCTTAGTACCCCTCTCCTCCCCATTGCCATGCTTTGCTCACTGGGAAGAAAAAAAGAAAAGAAGGAAAAAGGATTTCTGGAGAAGCAGGAGTTGGTTTTGATGTTATACTTAGGTATTCCATACAAGTTCAGACATATTTATAAAAATGGGGGGAAAAAAACAACCCACAGGTACAACAAAATGAAACAAGACAAAGAAAATGAGATGATGAGCAGATATGAATGCTGCTGGGATTGCCACTCCGGGTGCTCGTTCAGGTCTCGCCCCGAGCATCTTAGCAGCACAAGTGAGCCCACTGTGCCTCTCCTTCCCGGTACTGACCCACTGACACCTGCTTCTCGGCCTTTGTTTCCCCGGGCGAGGGGCTCACGCCTGTGTCCAGCAGGACAGCGGGGCCACTGTGCTTGTACCACAGTGATGTGGCTGCTTCCCAGGCTTAGTAAGGACCAGGCCACTGGCCCACTTCGGGTTTCCTAGACGAGAGAAGAAGACCGGAACCAGGATGGGAAGATGGATGTGCTGCACTTCAGCCTGGAGCTTCCCCTGCAGGCCACGGAGCACGTTCTCGGCGTGCAGCTCATCCTGACTTTCTCCTACCAATTGCACGTGAGTTGGTCCCAGGGGAGGGGCTCCATCCTGTCCAGTTGCCTTTCTATGTAGTCCAGAACTCTGCGGAAGGCTTTTTTTTTTCTGGGTGACGTGGGTGATTTAACATAGGCAAATAAGTGTTTCCCTGGCTTGGAGTGGTGTTCATCTACAGGCGCTATTAGAAAGGAGAATTGGGGCAGTATGTGTCCTACGTGGCTAATGTAGGCAGGTGGGCCACCATGGGTGACCTTGGAAGGCGGAGCCCTTCTGACCTGGTGGCAGTAGGTGGTGTGTCTCTGTTTGATTTCAGAGAATGTCGACCTTCGTGATGCAGAGCCTGGCATTCCTACAGTCGTCCTTCGCCGTGCCAGGGTCCCAGTTATATGTGAACGGAGACCTCAGGCTGCAGCAGAGGCAGCCGCTGAGCTATGGCGGCCTTGATGTCCGATACAACGTAAGGATGCCTTCTCCTGGTGGCCAGCTGCTTTGTTCCTACCTGGGGCTTTCAGAAAGGTCATAGAAAATGGAATTAAAAAAGAAGGTTTTATTTTGGTACAAAACACATTTTGAAATGCATACATAGTATCTTTATAATATATGTTTTTTGCAAACTTTTTAGAAAACCTTATATATGCTGCTACTTATAAAGTTCTTTAAAGAGAGATGAAAGAAATACTCCCTTAGTTTTTCTGAAATGGACCCCATTTGCCTGTTTCCTTTCTCATCTCTAAAAGCTTTCTTTTGGCTCCTTTTAGCATGGAGATGGAAACAGACGAAAATGCATATAGTCCCTACAAGCAGGAAATTATCCCTATCTTCCAATGTTTTCCCATCAATATAATTTTTTTAAGATTTATTTGTTTTTATTGGAAAGTTAGAATTACAGAGATGGAGAGACAAATATCTTCCATCTACTGGTTCACTCCCCAAGTGACCACAAAGGCTGGAGCGGAGCTGAGCCAAAGACGGGAGCTTCTTTTGTGTCTCCCACGTGGGTGCTTGGCAATCCTTGATGGCTTTCCCAGGCCACAAGCAGGAAGCTGGATGAGAAGTGGAGCAGAAGGGATACAAACCAGCATCCATGTGGGATCCCGGGTGTGCAAGGCAAGGACTTTAGCCTCTAGGCTATTGTGCCAGGCACATATAATCTGATATATAAACCTTCAGGTACCGAGTGCCAGGTTAAGTTCATATCTTATGTTCTTGTGCCCTTATTTACAATGATTATAGCTATAGTGACCAGAAATCCAGTTTACCTGGCATAAGCTTGGTTATGCTGTAATGGCCAGTGACATGTTACTTTTCTTTTCTTTCTTTCTCTCTTTATCTCTTTTTTAATTTCCTTGAGAGCCTGACACAAACAGCTCCTGTGTGCTAGCTCAGTCCCCAAAGGCCCACCAAGGCCAAAGGGGCCATAGCTAGGACCTGGGCACCCCAGCCCTGTCTCCGGGTGGGTGACAGGAGCCCAGTCGCTGAACTATCCCTGCTGCCTCCCAGGGCCTGCGTTTTCAGGCTGCTGAAGTTAGCAGCTGCCACCTGCTCTCTAATCCAGGCACTTCCATGGGCCGTGAGTACAGTAGCCGGAGTCTTAACCATTAGGCTAAATGTCCTCCAGAAAGGGGAATTTATAAGTGGTTCTAAAACCTGTGAACGGTGGATACTGACATCAGGAAGTACTAAGAGTAAGTGGAGTTAAATTGTTATAAATTATTTATTCTTGAAAAAAAATTGTTGATACCAAAATAGGCCACCAAGAATAAGAAGGGGGTCTCTAGAATCAGCCCTCCGGGGTTCAGGGGAAGGGACAGGTGAGTAGAGGGAGAGGGGGAAGCTCTTCTTCCCCAAGGGCTCACCCCACTTCCTCCCACTGTGCCCCAGGTATCTGTGATCAATGGCACCAGCCCTTTTGCCCGTGACTACGACCTTACCCGCATTGTGGCTGCCTACCAGGAAAGGAACGGTAAGTCTGGGGGAAGCCGGCTTCCAGTCCTGTCCCAGCACTGTGCAGCCTGGTGGGAGCTCCGAACACAAATGGGATTTCAACCTGCTCATGGCCCTGTCAGACCCTGATCCCTACTCCTGGGCATGGAGATTCCCTTTTTTAAAAAAATTATCCCTATGATAAACCTAAGTGATTTGTTCCTCAGACCACACCTATAAGAGGAACTGAAGGGCATCAGTCCACGCCAGCAGTTCCGGGGGAACCCGGATCCCCAGGGTGCTGACTGGAGGGGTGTGGTCATTAGCTTATGAGGGCGAAGTCACATGCAGCTGGGGGGCCCAAGGTCGTCTCCAGGGGCGTCTGACCTGTTCCTTGGCAACCAAACACTGTGGGACACACACTCACATTTCCCACACGAAGGGGTTACACTTCTAGTATATCCTCCTAAGTTTAGTTAACACAGTAGCATTATTCCAGTAAGAAAGGAAGTGTTAAGACAAAACTGAAAGAAAAAAAAAATCACACATTGGCCTACAAGCCCCTCATTCTTTTCACTCTAAGCATTTATGAGTTCTCACAAAATGTGTATTTACGTGGATTTAACTGTTATGATGTGGAAACCTTGTGGGATCCATATTTCCCATTTATTTAATTTGGCTGTGGTATATATAAGTATTCCCCCCACACTGCTGGGGAGTTCTAACAGATGCTGGTACCCTCAGCCACTATACAAGGCTTGTGTCTGTGTTTAGGCCATGACTTTAATGGAAGTGTTTTGGCGAATAACGTGGGAGCCTCCTCGCCCCCACCAGGTCTCTTTGCCTTAGCATCTGTCGTGTGAGTTCTGGAGTGCAGATTTGGAGGAGTATTTCAGGCCCTCCCCATTCCTGTTGGAATGACTGATGACTGTGTTGCAGTTACCACCGTCCTGAGTGACCCCCATCCCATCTGGCTGGTGGGCAGGGCCGCCGAAGCTCCCTTTGTGATCAACGCTGTCATCCGGTACCCGGTGGAGGTCATTTCATATCCTTTCTGTGGGAGAGCCTGGGGGTGTGCAGATTCCAAAAAGTGAAGGAAGAGTCCCTCAGTTGTCCCAACTGGGACAGATGTGGGAACCGGGGACTGGCATCACGGCACACACAGATGCCCATCTGCTGTTTGTACAGGAAGGCGGATTCATTTCCTGTGGGTATCTGACCAGCTCCCCGAGGGCAGTATCACTCACGTTGGTGGCTTAATAAGCAGTGATAATCTCTTTGATCTTAAGGGCATTTGAAACATTCCTACTATTTCCTGCCAGGCCTGGACCTCCATGTAACTTCTCTCTGGCTTGTCCTCTGCCGCTCCTTAACCCCCCATACCTACCAGCCAGGCTTCTGGGAGATGATCAAGTTTGCCTGGCTCCAGTATGTTAGCATCCTGCTTGTCTTCCTGTGGGTGTTTGAGAGAATCAAGATATTTGTGTTTCAAAATCAGGTGGTGACCACAATTCCCATCACAGCCACGCCCCGGATGGATGTGTGCAAGGAGCACCTGTCTTAGGCCCGGTTTCCGGTGGGCTGCATTGAGCAGGATGGGACCACAGGCACACTGGAGGGCATGTGTACTGCTGCCCCCTGGACACAGGACAGCTCCTACCCGTTCTGCTCCACCCAGATGTCCCGTCTAGCGAGCAGCTGCGGAATCTCCAGGGCCCGCTAGGAGTGGGGGCCAAGGCTGCCTGAGGCTGTCAGTCTTGTTCTCCTTTTTGTTTGTTTTGCCTTACACTGAAATTTCAGAAGAAAAGTTGCAATCAGTTTGGACAACTTGGAGAGAGACCCACGTCTCATCAAGCAGACTTTTCTTCTACACACTAAGCATCTTTTCCATCTGTTGTAAGCCTGCCTTCCTTTCTTTCTTTCTCTCTCTTCCTTTCTTTCTTTCTCTCTCTTTCTTTCTTTCTTTTCTTTTGTTTCAGTGTTCCCTTGTCACAAATGCACTTCCATAGCACAGCCCTGTCCTGGCCATCTGTAGTTCCCATTCACAGTTTTGATTTCCAGAATAGAGGCCTTTAGCCCGAGAAAGGAGGGGTTGGGTCCAAACGTACACGGGAGAGTGGGTAACCCAAGGATACCAGGGCCATCCACCTGCCCCCAGCCTCACAGACAGCATCTGTCTCAGCCTCAGCTGAGTGGCCTTCATCCCCGCCAGCCTGGCTCTGCCCTCTGCCCACTGCCCTCTGTTCCCCTGGAGCAGCAGGCTGAAGTCAGCTGTGCTAATCCATTCACAGACCCCTTGGCTAGTGAGGGGAGGCTAAGGCTCCTAACAACAGGTTCTTTTTCCCTGGCCTACACCCAGCAGCCTGGACACTCACCACTCCTCACTGACTGCCCTTCCCCCTTCCTGCAAAGGACACGGGTGACAGAAGAGCCCTTGTTGGTCTTGGCTCCCGCAGCCTGACAACGGCAGGGTTTATTTGGAGGGCTAGCGCAAAGCCCAGATCCTTGTGTTTCCCTTGACGAAAGAGCTGGTGGGCAGCTCATCCTAGCAGGCAGGCCGGGGGGGGCGGGGGAGGCCGCAGGAGCAGTGAAGAGGTGAGGAAGGTGCCAGCCTCTGCGGCACAGTGCAGCCTGGCTGTGAGCAGAAGGACGAGCAGTCCAGCTGAGCTAAGAGACAGGGCAGGCACTCGGGGTTCCCTCGGCCCCTACTGTCCAACAAAGATTGCTCAGCCCCAGTAGGGTCTCCCCAAAGGATGCGTGCATCTGTAGATCATGGTCCTGGAAGGACACGCCTCCCTGGGCTCTAGACTCCATGCCCACCCAGGAACGGGAACGCCATGTGCCTCACTTTACCTTCGAGCTTCAGTTCTCATTTCCAAAGCTGACTAACAGCTGTTTTGAAGTATTCAAGTAGAAAAATGCCCTCCTATTGGCTGCTGTTTCTTTTCTTTTAATATTTACAACTGTTAGTATGCCTCAAAAAAATTGTTTTTCTTGATTTGAATGAAAATGATTTCTGGCTTAAATCACAAAAGCATAATGAAATGTGGAGAGAGTAAAAAATGTGTATAGACATTGCTATGTGTTTTGTTGAATTGTTTAATGCAACATTTGTATAAAAGATTCATAATCATTTGTAAGTTTCTAATTAAACTTTTTAAGAAAGAAGGTTGCACATGGTGTTTTGGGGTGGAAGGCTGGCTGGGGAGGGCTGGGGTTGCGTGCCCTTCTCTTGGTTACTCACCGGCTGCCTTGCTTTGCCAAGGCCCTGCCCAGAGACCTTGGAACTTTTGTTGGTTCTTTGGCACAAATCCCCCGGTCCAAGCCCGAGTAAGTGTGAGTTTTTTGGTGGAATTCACATGGCATGTGAAAGCCACAGGCTGGAAAATTACAACTGTGTTTGGCGAATAGGAAATTGTTTACAGATCAGATGTTGGGGGCCTCAGAGCCCAAACGACATGGCTCGGGGGGGCCGGAGGCAGACAGGTAAGGGGGCAGGGTTGTCTCAACAGCGCTCCAGAGCCAGACGGAGTCATGGTTGGAGGTTGTTCAGAGGTGGGGTGGGACAGATCCCCCGCATTGCCCAGTAAGGTGAGGCCCCTAGTAAGCTTCCTATAGCAACTGTCCCTATTTATCTTCAGTGTCTGGCTGGGGTTCGGGGGAAATGTATAAATTACATAAACAATGAGCTCTTACAGGAAGCAACTGTCCATAACTCGCTTGCCGGGAAAACACGGTGGTTGGCATTCTGGCATGCCATCTTTTTAATTTTTGTGTCCTTGTTATCTTAAGCAACTCTGTCCGAACCTTGTGTACAGATGCTTGTGGCTAGTTTTATTTTCTTAAGATAGATCCTAGAAAGAAATTACTAAGTCAGAAAACAAGCCATGACCATGGTTACCCGAGGTAATCCATCCAGCCTAGCCACATGCAAGAAAACCCAGCACTAACTGATACTCCCAGCAGTGTGGACTTCCTGTTTTAGATCCCACCATGGATTACAAGACCTCAGAAGGCGTTATCCTTCTTACATGACTGGACTCTGCCCTGTTATTTGTTAGGGGGAGAGGGGAACGTTTTATTTGCTGAAATGTATCCTGTGTTTATCCGGATCTGCCATCAAGGCTGCGTGTGTCTCTGGTTTGAGGCTAGAACAGGGAGGGGACAGGAGAGGACAGCTGTTAAGCCCAGATCCGGAAAGCTGCTGGCTTGGGCTCTAGGTCCCTCTATGCCGGACTCCCTGCACCAAGGTGTCTGGGTATGAACTTAAGGCTGAGGCCGGGGAATTTGGAAGGCAATTTTGGATTCCAGGAGACTTGGCTTCAGGGAGGATGCTCCCGAGCTTAAGATTCCATTTCCTCCACAAGGGGCCTTTTGTCCTCCCGGAAGCCTTTCCATTCTGAGGACTGGATGGGGAGAAAGCGTTCTTTTTGGTCAATATATGAGGTGACTCCACAAGTTCCGCGCGGCCAAGCCTCTTGCGCCCTGCAACCCAGCCCACCGTACTCCAGCTCCTGGAGCGCGCCCTGGGCCCCGCCGCCCCTCCCATCGAGGCGTGGCCCTTCACTTGGGAGTGGAGAGGATAGCGGGCTGGGTGGGGGCAACCGGCTCCTTCCTCCTATCCGCCCGCCCGGCTCCCGCTGGCCCGCCCGGGACCGCAGCCACGTCTGAAAGCTGCTCATTGTGTGTGCCCCGGGTGGACGAGCGCCGAGCAGGGCAGCGAACGGGCAGATAGAACGGAGCGCTGGGCGCAGAAGAGGAACTCCCTGCACCTGGCTGGAAGGGTCCGTGTCTCTTGACTTCAGCAGCCCTTCCAGCCCGTTCAAACGACCCTTCTCTTTCTTACCGGGACTGCTGTGCTCTTTCCAGGTCCATTCTGCAGTGGACGTCCGGGCGCCTCCAAAAAACCTCGGGACCCTTGGATTCACGCCCGCACCTCTGACAGGCTCCTCTCCGGAGTCACCGGGTGTCCCAGGGACCCGAGGGACCAGTTCAGCCCCTACCGACTCCAGAAGAGGAGCTGGCCGTGAAGTGGAACTTAGAGATCAACGCCTAGGACGCTTCACCAAAACCCGCCGAGCCAGGCAGGTCCCGGTAGAGACTCTAAGCTCCGGGGTACGTTGGCGCAGCCGCTAGTCACGGGTGTCCCCGACGTTACGGTGGGTTTGGGCTGGGCTTGGGGCGGGTGGGGAGCAGCAAGAGTCGCTGTCCTGCAGACGAGGAACCCTGGGAATCAGGGTCCCTGCAACTGGGTTGGAAACAGCCCTGGGGCGGCAGAGGCATGCACAGGTCCCAGCTAAGAGACGTCTTTTCTTGCAGAACACAGGGCCCCGGGCTTTCTCCACGCCATTGTGGAAGAACAGTAGCCTCGTGAGGGAATTGGGGACCAGATATGGGTGGATATGGGTCTTGTGGCCCCTCCCCCTTTTCTGGCTGCTTGGCCTTGGACAACAGTAAGAGACCCTTGTGCATCTCCAAACTGATGCGCAGCCAGTGTTGGCTCCCTTTTTTTGCTTCCCTCCTGAAGCTCGGAGGGGGAGATACGCCAGAGGCTTGAGGAAAGCCGAGGCCTGAGGACTTGGTTGACCTGAAGCAGGAGTGAACGAGTGGATCCGTATGGAGTTCGCAACACTGGAGCCAGAGTTCTTGGCTGTGCTGCCATCCAGGCTGTGACACGGCTGCTTTTGGAGCCTCATCTGGGGGTGGGGGGAGAGGGAGTCAAGTCACACACACAGCACCTGGAAGGAAGCACAATCTTTGAACCCGAACGAGGCTTCTCGCCATGGTCCTGAGTTCTCCTGTTGGGTGTGCACCTGTGCCATCTCTGGCTGTCCTTGTCACCTTTGGTTGTCAGGGCCTGGAATCCCACCTGCACCTGGCAGGGCTATTGTCTTTAGGTTTCTCCCGTGAAAAGACCTTCCTTGGAGTTATAGAGCATAATGACCAAGATTTAGAAGGTTCTTGAACAAAGTGTGTTGTGTGTCAGATTGTCCTTTTTTTATTTTTTAGATTTATTTATTTTTATTGGAAAGGCAGATATACAGAAAGGAGCAGAGAGAGAGGGGGGAGGGTCTTCCATCCGATGGGTCACTCCCCAAGTGGTTGCAATGGCTGGAACTGAGCCAATCCGAAGCCAGGAGCCAGGTGCCAGGAGCTTTTTCCAGGTCTTCCACACAGGTGCAGGGTCCCAAGGCTTTGGACCATCCTCGACTGCTTTTCCAGGCCACAAGCAGGGAGCTGGATGGGAAGTGGGGCTGCTGGGATTAGAACCAATGACGATAAGGGATCCTGGCACATTCAAGGCGATGACTTTAACCATACGTGTTCACACTGGGCCCAGTGTGCCAGATTGTTCTAAGAGGTCTGGCAATACATAGTAATTTTTTTCGTTTTCGAATCATAGAGTTGGATTATATTGGTTCCCTACACTGTAAAGAACAATATACAGGGACAAAGGTTGAGAAACTGCTAAGCTCACCCAGTAGGGGACCAAGCGGGGTTCTTCCTCTGAAGCAGTCACTTAGGTCAGCTGGGAAGTGGGCTTGCAGGCCTCTCCTCCCCACAGAGGAGGCAAGGTCGAGGGCCGAGGAGGCCAGCACTGCCCAGGCCTCCTTTAACCCAACAGTAGACTCCACACCTGCTCCGGTCTGCAGGGGGACAACCAGAGGTTCTGCTTCTGGCCTCGTGGCAAGAGAGAAGTGCAGAGCAAGCATTTTCTGGGTGGTGATAGCAGTGTTAGCAATAGATTTCTCAACATCCCCTGAGAGCCACTGCGTCTGGAAATTTCTCTAGTTACCTCTAGGATAACTTCTTGCAGGGGGTTGATTCTAATCAGAAGCCAAACATTGCCTTGCATCGCCTAAATATTGTTGGGTTGTTTTCTTGTCTAATATTCTTTTCCTTTTCCTTTTTAAAAATGCCATTGACTGGTAAAATTATTTGTTAAAAATAATTAAAATAGGGACTCCTGTAGCACTGCAGCTTAGCGGCTAAGATCCTCACCTTGCATGCACAGGATCCCATATGGGTGCCAGTTCTAATCCCAGAAGCTCCACTTCCCATCCAGTTCCCTGCTTGTGGCCTGGGAAAGCAGTAGAGGGTGGTTCAAAGCCTTGGGACCCTGCACCCATGTGGGAGGCCCACAGGAAGCTTCTGTTTCCTGATTTCAGATTGGCTTAGTTCTAGCCATTGTAGTCATTTGGGGAATATATCAGTGGTTGGAAGATTCTTCTCTCTGTATCTGCTTCTCTGTAAATCTGCCTTTCCAATTAAAATAAACGAATCTTTGAATTAATCACTTACTTTAAAAAAGCTGAAGAAAGCAAATAAGCCAGAGAGCATTCTAGGTTCTCCCTGTAGTAAAAGGGTCCTGTCAATGCATATGCTACCTTGGGGAAACATGTGAAATGCGTAATCCCTGTTTCTTACCGTGTGTGTGTGTGTGTGTGTGTGTGTGTGTGTGTGTGTGTGTGTGTGTGTGTGTGTTGCTGGCAAGAAGAACTAGGACAGCCAACACTCTGCAGGCCTCCGACTCCCATTCTAGGACAGAAACCAAACTGGGTGCTGAGCAAAGTACATGGTGGGCATAGCTAACATTTGAGACCTGAAGGAGACAGTTGAAGCCTCCATAAGCTGCCCACCTGCTCTGAAATACCCACAGTGTGCCTGAGCCAG